TATCCCTAAATTAATTCGAAACCCCAAAGCCATGGTGAATCTCTCTCACGAAAAAACACCAGACGAGCCACAACCGAAGCCGAGCCCCGAAGCCCTAAACCCCAACCTAAACCCTAAACCTCAACCCTAAGCCCTCAACCCTAAACCCCTATAAACCCTGAACCCTGAACCCTCAGCCCTGAACCCTCAACCCTAACCCTAAACCCTATGAACCCCAAAGACCCTAAACCCTAAATAAACCCCTAAACCCCTACACCCCTAAATCCTAAACCCTAAACACTAAACCCCAAACCCTGAAACACCCTAAACCCTAGGTGTTGTTGTTGTTGATGATGTTGCTGCTGTTGCTGTTGCTGTTGCTGTTGCTGTTGCTGTTGCTGTTGTTGTTGTTGTTCTTGTTGTCGTTGTTGCTCCTGCTGCTGCTGCTATTAGTGCTGCTGCTGTTGCTGTTTTCTGGTTCTACCAGAACTGCTTCTACTCCTATACTATTTGCACCATGTACCGCTACTCCTAGTGCTGCAACGAATGGCAAGACTTAAGAGGATCCAAATGTGAAACCCAGACGAGAAGCACAGCCACAGCCCTCCTGCCAGCTGTCAAGGAGAGCCTTTGCAAACTCGGTGGTGTAGACCCTCGGCCGATCGATTTGGGGCGCGGGCTCTTCAGGGCTAGACTTGGCAAAGCATCCTGGGTGAAAGGGGGAAATGCATCGGATGGTTCAGGTTGTCTAATTTGGAAGCAAGGTTCTGAGACCGCTTCACATCGGCAGGGACTCCGGACACTCGTTTGCGTCCACGGTCCTGGGATGCAGAGGTTGCTTAAGGTGAGCATGTGCAGGTTATATCTATCTCGGGGCACAATTTCTTATCGAGTCTCATCTGTGTGCTTCGTCACGACATTCTTCAGAACACGAAGGGGCTGCCGCATGTGCTTCGAGAAGCCCTAGCCACACAGGCGAGGATAGTTTCGGCAATCCCATGATTCGTCCCTAAATGCAACCAGGGTTCACGGAGGAAGCTGTGGTTGGCATACAGCCACGTAGGCTTTTTTGTGGCAGCAGCGAAGTCTGACATGTTCATGCTCATGCGATAGACCTAATTTTAACACTCATGCATAGAATGTGGGTGGATAAGCACATGCAATATAGAGTCAGCTAAGTCACTTTGACTGTGTGCAGAGCTCGGCTCACAACAGGATGTGCTTGCATTCCACCCGAAGAAGATTTTGGTTGTTCAAGAACCGCATAGACATTCAGGCAGTGTGCGAGCTGCATGAGGAGGGCCGACCTCCAATTACAGGGTCATATAAGCGGAGCAAGAAGGCAAGGCTTAACTCCACATGTACAAATATTACCATGGAAAAACAGAGGGCCTGCATGCCAAAAGGTTTCCCATCACCACACTTGGTATGTTCGACAATCCAGTAGGAAGCATGGGGCAGCGCCCCGAGGTGTAGGCGTTGAGGAAGGTGAAGCTGGAACCTTCAATTGATTGGGTTTGACCGGGTTTGGGTAGCTATATAGGAGCCATAATTAAGTCACTGTTCTTAGGGTGTCTGCGGAGAACCGGTTTGAGAGTCCTCGCAACCCTCGCTTGTCACCAATGCAGTAAGACTCTAGGGTTTAGGGTTTAGGGATCATTGGATCATTAAAGGATAATATTTGATTACACTAAATTAACCTAAGACCCTAAACCGTACTGTTATCGCATCTTTTCCAAGATAATTGATTACCCGAAACCTAAGACCCTAAACCGTACTGATATCGCATCTTTTCCAGGCCCCAAATTAATAAAGTGAGGTCTGGGATATTCAACAATGCGATCACGAGGAACCCTTGCGCCTTGGATTGTACAGGCCTATACGAGTTCAGACTCTTCAGCAAAGTCATGCTATCAGGATCGATGATGTAAGGTGTGGGTTCTGGATGATCGGCATGCACACGACAACGTACAAGATCGCACGACGTCGTCAGTCGTCCGTCCTTTCGTCTCATGCAGACTGCACAACCCGTGCAAGATCGTGTATGGCCACCAGGTTGTGGAACTCGGTCAGGTCAGGCCTTTTGCTAATGGTAGATGTTGCTGCCTGTGCCTTGTCACTCGGATCCTGAACCCTTGAACACAAAAACTAACACACACACACCAAGCCCTATCCCTGAAACCAATAAACCCAAGAAGTAGAAGTGTATTTAGAATCAGAAGGGGCCGTGGGCCCCAAACCAAAATCCTAACGTACAAAACCCGACAGCTTACTTAATTCTCGTTGTGACAGCCCAGGCGACCGAAACAAGTTGCCTTCATCTACAGAGACGACCCCAACACTGCAAGATCATAACGAGCATCTGACGGCGGGTGGAGGGGCCAAAGCTGCACTTATTCTTGGGGTTTAGAACGGAAAGGGTTTAGGGTGTATAGGCATATCGGGTTCACGGTTTTGGGCTTCCGATAAAAACCCTAAACCCATGAGTCCTGTATATATATATATGTATATATATATATATAGAGGCTATCTATCTATCTATCTATCTATATATGTTTATATGTATAAATACATAATTAAATGTATATATATATATAGTTAGGTACCGCCCCCTCATCATATAAAGCCGCCCCTAAACCCTAAACACCTAAACCCTAAACCCCTAAACCCTAGACCCCTGAACCCTAAACCCCTAATGCAAGTCTGAGGAGAAAGGGCTTGGCAGTATAAACTGTGGGAACAGGCTTGTTGCTTTTGGGCTTATGGCTCTTTATAATATTTGAGTTGCTGTTCGAGCTAGGATGGGTCAATGGGAGGTTTATCGGCTTTGGAAAGCCAACCACTGCTGAAAGGAGTCCTCTAAATCGTGACATATAATGGAGCTGGCGGCTTGGGTGTGATTTCTTGAAAAGATTTCCGGGCTCAGTGTCTCGGCTAGACCCGGTTAACACTTAGGGGTTTAGGGGTTTAGGGTTTCAGGGTTTAGGACTTGGCTTGACCCGGTTTAGCGCTTAGGGGTTTGGGGTTTAATTAGGAGTGTAGGGGTTTAGGGTTTAAGGATTTAGGAGTTTAGGGTTTCATGGCTTGACCCGGTTTAGCACTATGGGGGTTTAGGGTTGAGGGGTTGAGGGTTTAGAAGCTTAAGCCCTTGTTTCTTGATTACACCCCCGGGATCACAGCCCAGAGCCCTCAACCGCATCCAAAACTGTTAGACTCTGAATCCCGTGGTCGTCTTTCTCAGAACACTAGAAGCCCAGAATCCTGAAGGCAAAATTCTTTTATGTACACCATTGCATACAAGGCCACGACCATTAAATTATGTATCTATGCATACATATATACAGGTAACATTATTGATACATATACTGATATTCGCAGCAAAATTCTTCTCGTCGCTAGACCCAAAGCATTAAAGCACATAGTGTCGGCTGGAGGATCTATAAGGGGTTCTGGGTTTTCTTTAAAGGATTGTGGGTTTCTGTGGACATTGCTTCATCCGCACAGGGTTGCTAGGGATCGATGCATCAGCCCAAACCCAAATCTGCATTTAATCCCTGGAGCCAAAGCTTCAACTCGATCCAAACCTGAAAGAACACTATTCCCAAGAAACTATACACACCTTAACCCCTAACCCCCAAGGACTCAGAGGTTTACAAAACCATGCACCATGCATCCAAAAGCAACAAAACCCTCAAGCTGGGAACTTACTGGGTCCTGAAGCTCCTCAAGCACACTAAATACACCGTGACATACCAGACCCCGAGCTTGTGGAAGTAAATGCCTTGAAAAGGTTTGGGAAGCAGGGGGTTTAGGCGTTTAGGGTTCAGGGGCTCTAGAACTTTAGAGCTCAGGCTACCTACAGATGATTCTGCTGCAAAGAGGCAGACCGGAGCGAGGACCAGAAGGCCATGCCGGCGTAGCCGTCGAACATATCCCGTTGCCAGCCTGGGCAGCACAACAGTACACTTAGGCGAACTTTGAATTGGAAAACCTTCAACCTTCAACATCGAGACCACCATTCAAGCAAGCTACAGGAAGCCCCATGCTTTACTCATGTCGTTGGTCTCCGAATACTCCAGATCGACCTTTCGGGCAGCGAAGCCTCGAAGAAGCGATTCCCCGTGAATAGCCTCGGATTTCTGATTCATTTGTTGAGAGACCCAAGCATCCCGGCAACCCGCATGCGTCCGAAAAACAGCCGACCCGGCGAAGAGCTCCACGACATCGAGTTTATCATCATGCTTGTAATCTAAGCCCATATAGTTCATCAGCAGCAAGATGACAATAAGGGCCCGAGGCCTCGGCCAACAGTTAACAGACCCCCCGATTCCTGGCAACCCACCCTTAATTAGTACTGGCATGAGAAAGATACAGCTCAGGCGAGCTCAGACCACGGGCCAGCAACGGCTTCACGAGCGGCCAAGGACCAGCCGCCATGCCGCAGGTGGTTTGAAGTGGTGAAAGACCACAGCAACCTAATCCTGAATATGAAACAGCACCCTCGACAACAGCGAGACAAGACTCTATCCAGATAGACAGGGCAAGCAACACACAGCTGTAGACGAGATATGTTCTAGTTAGGTTCGGCGCACGAATTGCGGTCCCCCGTCGCGCTTCGTCAGTCGTGCAGCCCGATCTAGCCCAATCTAATTACACATTGTATGTGAAAAGAAGCCAGAACAGCCGGGATCAAGGAAGCATCAGCATGATAGAGAATTGAAATGCTTTCAACGACCTATAAAAATGATTGCTCATAGGAACCATCTCCACGACTTGGCTGGCTGTCATAAGATATGTGGTGCTGTACCACACACTTCTAGCTAGTGCAAGAACTGCAGGGGCAAGGCTTATGCTTATTTAGAGAGCATCAGCACCAAAGTCACAGGTCGCCACAGACCCACCCATCACACCAGTCGTCGTCGCTTCTTGTCGCTGATGTTGTCGACCAGCACCCTGAGTGGCAAATCTAGGAGCTTTTAAGCGCTTGCATATATGCCTATACGAACGATTATCCAAGTTGCGATCGGATGAGGCTGTGCTTCCACAGGGTTTGGGCTTCCTGAGCTCAGGAACAGCGGAGAATAGGTTTCATAGCTGGTCTGTGGACAGGCATGTAGTACTGCTTTAAATTCATTCAAGCTAGGATGCCCGGAATGATTTCCCATGCTCCTTCTTGGCATGCCTGCAACAATTTCAAGGCTTGCTTGGCTAAGAAAGAAACAACATAAACCAGCGCCGGCCTAATGAACGCCTGCATGGCACCCCAAAGCGGCCCATCCTCATTACGCTTGACCTTCTTGGCAGGGGCCTCCTGCGATAGTCGTTGCTATATTAAGACAGACTGATAGGAAGCCCTATATAGCCAGTAACAAACACGAGCTCCTCCGATTCGGACTTTTTGTGCTCATTCTGGGCTGCTGCATCTTGATCCTTTGGCATGTCATGTCCCTGATCTGCGCCCTCATCCTTGTCCTCCTCCGCTTGTTCTGCATCGTCCTCCGGTTGTTCTGCATCGTCCTCTTGTTGTTCTGCATCGTCCTCCTCGTGTTGTTCTGCATCGTCCTCCTCCGCTTGTTCTGCATCGTCCTCCCCGGATTGTTCTGCATCGTTCTCCTCCGCTTCCCCTGCGTCGGCCTCATCCTCCTCCTGTGGTTCTGCATCGGCAGATTCCATACCTGAAGCATTTAGCGGGTTTTGGATTTATAAAGTTCAAGCTTTGGGGTTGTAGGGTTTTGGATTAGTAGTGCAATCAGGAGCACCACTCTCGCCGACATCTGCATCTGGATCCGTGCCACTGGAGATTCCTCGGGCTTTGGCTTTAAGGGTTTATGGTTTAGGCATTCAATTAAATGGCTCAAAGGTTTAGGGCTTAAGGGTCCAGGGTTCAGGGATTTAGAGGTTTAGGGTTTATATATAGGTCTATATATAGGGCTTGGGGTAGGAGTTTAAGGTTCAAGGCTTGGGGCTTTTGGATCAGTGCTCCTGGAATTTCCTTGGGGCTTGGGCTTTTCTGGGTTTATATAGGGGTTTATGGTCTAGTCGCTTTAAGGGTGTAAGGGTTTAGGAGTCGCAGGGTTCTGGGGTTTCGAGCTTAGGTTTAGGGTTTAAAGGGTTGGTGGTTGAAAACCAAAACAAACCTGAAGTTCTTAGCTAGCACACTGAAATTAAGGAGTCGATGTCGAACAACACATATGGGGCACTTGCTCCATATTGCTGCTGTCTAGCTTATATAGCGATGTATAGATAGTCCCATGCTATTAGCACTCCTGGCTGCACAGGCGGCGACAACAACATCGATCAACCTCAGCAAGAAATAGTAGTAGTACATCGACGAGGAAGAATAGTAACATTATAGAGATCCGAATAGTCTTCTTCCCCATATGGGCCCAATACACTATATTATATATAATGGGTACTCTTGTTATTGTTTCTGTTATTGTAATTAGCTCTTTATACAGTAATTCTAGCACTATTGTTATTTTACTTGTGTTTGTGATTGTTGTTATTACAAAGATTAATAGCAATAGTTAGATATGTAGGACAATCCATGGTTGCCCCAAGCTATACAGTGCCGCAGAGCCACTCCCCGGGATCGCAGACAACAGTCCGTCAGCCCCCACTGCAGAGAGGCCGTGATACTCCTCCCGAGATATGAACGACAACATGGTATGTACTCACCGTGATTCGAAAATGAATGCACATCCTATCGATCCGGCCCAAATGAATATACAGCTTGATCTCAAAACAAAGGTTATAGCGGCAATCCTCCATCGGCGCAGTCGCGGCTTCCTCCGTCGGCCACATCATCAGTGACGGTCGAGCTTTTGGTGGATCATCGGAAGCTCCTGGGAGAGTCGGGTGCTACACTAACTAATAATGAGTACATATGTAAAAGCTAATAGGTTTTTTAAAACCCCGGCAATCCTGGCTGTGCTTTCTGCTTGATTCGTAGCCTGAATTTTTTCTTGTACTGGTCTGTGGGGTCCATCTTTGGTGGGTCTGCCATAATCTTGCCGACAACCGCTTCCAAGACTGCCGTGGAAGGTGGAGCTATCTCAGGGAGTCCTGACTTCAAATTGGGGCACACATAGGTTGGCATCGGAAGCTCTAGTAGAAAGCTAGGCAGGGGTAGGTAGGTATATGTAGTAGGTAGAGGTATAGGTAGGTAAGTAGGTAGGTATAGGTAGGTAGGTATCAGTCGCAGGTCGGTAGGTGGGTAGATATAGCTAGGTAGGTAGGGGTAGGTAAGTATAGGTGGGTAAGTACGTAGGTAGGTAGGTAGGTAGGTAGGTAGGTAGGTAGGTAGGTTGCTATAGGTAAGTGGGTAGGTATAGGTAGGCAGGTAGGTAAGTAGGAAAAGGTAGGTATAGGTATGGGTATGGGTACAGCTTCAGGTACGGGTATACACATGGGAGTAGGTAAGAATTAGTGTAATGTTTAACGAACTGATGCACAAACAGATTCTGCATGTGTGTGCGGTGGCATGTTAGCATTCAAACATATAGGCATGTGTTGTCAAAAGTGTGAGAAAGCAGGATTCGATGGGAACACATTTAGGGTTTAGGGTTCAGGGTGCATATCCAAAGCTACTCAGGTTCATATCCAAGACTACTCAGCTCCTGAAGCCGTGTCCACCCTCGTTGGAGTAGAGGATTCGCTGGATGCATTCTTCGACCGCTGGAATTTTTTGACAAGTAGCTTCCCGGTGACAGAGTCCTGTTGAAGAAGGACACTAGCTGGAAACCACAGACCGGAAATCCTAAAACTTGAACGCTCCTCCGAAATTTAAACAAAGGTTACAGTTAGGTCGCGTAGTGCCGGCCTTGAGTTCCTTCATCCAGGTAACCCTGGACTCCTTCGTCTTTTTGCTCTCCCTGATAACGTGCTGTGCCTTATATCTGCTTGCGCATGACATGCAAGCAACCCGTAGCACAACAGCATGCAGTTCCTAACTTCAAGCTACTATATATTCAGCAAGCAGCGAGGGATTTCAGGGAGCCTGCTTGACTGTGAGCCAAGCGAAGGTCACATTCCTTCCCGTACTTCAGCTTGATGCAATGCTGAATCTGATCCAGCGTCAGCACTTTCTCCAGCTGCGAAAATGCCTGCAGTGTCCTGGGCCGGATCACATGTATAAGAAAGCGGCTTCTCACGAGGACTCCCTAAATTCGGTTTGGAGGCTCGAACATATATTCGATTTCAAGATGCGCGAGCACCACATCCTTGTTCGTCCGAAGAAGTTCGTTTCGATCTTCCGCCTTCATTTTCTCCACATCTCCAAGATCTTTCGCCAGGACAAAACCAGCCTGCAAGCTAAACAATATGTGCGAAACAACATCTATCACACAACCACATGTACACAGTACACGAAAACATATGGGCCTGGGGGACGTCTAAGCTGCTCCAGAACGAGAGCACAGAAGCAGGGTCTGTGGATTTCTTGAAGGCACCCAAAGATTTCTCATCAGCCGAATCGGACATGGCGGGTGTACGTATTCGCGAAGTGAAATATTAATGCCATGCCCATGCAAATGTGCTGTACACTGTACGTTTTGCCTGCACAGCCGGATCTCACGTGTGCACAGTAAACGTCTGAGCCAGCCCCTGGCTGCCGGAGCGAGCGGATTCCTCGTGCTGGCCTGGACACACACCGTCATCAATAGTGAAGCCACACAGACACATTAACGTCTCGACCTATATCATATATATGTATAAACACATATATCTGTACACACACATATAGATCTATATACATACATACATACATATATATATCTATATACATACATACATATATATATATACACATACATATATACATATATATATATACTCTCTCCCCTCTCTCTGTCCCCCTCTCGATCTGTGTCTCTCTGTCTCGAGCTCTCCCGCCCGACTTCCCATATAGCTAGCTCTCGCTCTCTTTCTCTCCTTCTCACCCTCTCGATCTCTCTCTCTGTCTCGCTCTCTCCCTCTCTCCCGCTCTCTCGCTCTCGCTGTCGCTCTCTCTGCCTCTCTCCGCTGGCTCTCTTCTTCTCCTTCTTCTTCTCCGGGGTTCAGGGAGNNCTCTCTCTGTCTCTCTCTTTCTTCTTTTTTCAAGCATCCTGACCCAAGCAGGAGGACGTAGTACTTGCGCGCAAGGACATAGCGCACGCGATGGTATTTGGTTTTGACAACAACCGTGCGCAGACCCGCATCTGAAATTAATCTATAGCTGCCAGAGCTATTTCTTCGCCAGGATGGCCTGATATCCGGATTTGCCTCTGTACCAAGTACAATTTTTTGGGCCTAAGCACAAATAGCACAAAGTACAAGCCACTATGTGGCTCGTTTTGAACACAGGCACAGAATCAATCAAAAGAGCAAATTCAGCCCGAGGACAGGTCTCCAGGTTTTGGCTTACCGTAGCAAGGCCCCGCGAGCCTAAAAGTCCGCTGCACAACGGCCGACTCTTCCTAGTAGAGCTGGGGCTGCAACTTTTGCACCGTCTGCGCTTGCTACTGTAGCGCTCCGACTCGAACACGAGATCAGACTTCTCAGAGCTTGTCTTTCAACTTCACGTTTTGCTGAACCGATCTCTCGAGGGCAAGAAAGGTATCGGCGAGGTGGTCCCAGACTGAGCATGCCGGCAGTACGTGGTGACAACTGAAAGGGACGCCGCAAGCTTCCGAGATCAAGAAGCCCTTCGACTGGCTTTTCGGCAAGTACAAGTCCCGGAGCAAGGCTGGACTTGCACTGATGTCCACCCATCGGCATTGCCAACAACAGCCTTCAGATGCCGGCAGGCAGTTAGTGCTGCCGATGCGAGTGTCCTGGCTGGCTCCAAGATCGAGACAGAGGAGCTACTGCAGGAGTTGGCTTCTGAACTGTTGTTTGCAGCTTTCAGGACGATGTGCTCTTCCTGGAGCACACGCCCGACTTCAATGAGCGGGGGACCCAGCACCAACCAGCATCAGGCTGCCAGCTTCAGACCATCCATCCACTGCCCCTTCTCATCTTTGTTAACCTCATTCGTGGAGGTACCTTTCTGGTTTATCTGGTCCGACAAGCCCGCGGCTTTGCTAGTGATCTGCTTGAGGACCCTGAAGCCGGCTGACAGTGAGCTGCTGCTAACGTGCGCCGAGCACTGGGAGGGGCTTCTTTGTCACTGTCACAGATTGCACTGTGGCAGCTGCAGGTACCTCACCGCACCGTACATCCGCGTGCCGCTGCTGCTGGGATTCTTCGCCGACCGTGAGCGAGTGTCACTGCTGCGTGAGCCTCTTTTGCAGGCAAGCAGCTGAGACCTGTTAAGAGTTCCGCAGTGTCGAAGGTTCGTCACCGGATCCGCATTCTGCTGCATGCTCGACCTCTCGATAAGTTGTGTGGCATAATGTCTCGCTTCCTACTCACTCGCAGACTAGCATCTCTCCTGCACTGCCGCCTCTCCTGATTCTACTTTGCACGGCGCAGGCAGTGCTAGATGCCGCGCTTTTCGAGCCTGGACAATGGCAAAGCAAGCAGGCCATGTCACGAGGAACGGCGGAAAGTTGGGAAGAGAGTGCAACCTGTCGTGCATAGCGAGGCAGCGGTTACGGGACCGCCGAGTGCTGTACCTGCACCGGACCGAAATCACTTGGCCACACCGGCAGGGCCGGAGCTCCAGTGCAGTGAGCAGAGCAGCCCACTTGAATGTCAGTCGCCTTATGTTGCTTTGTTCTTCGATTCTCAGGCTGCTTTTCAACGAGCTCCTGCGCTCACCGAGAGACCACACCTCAGAAAATGTCCCATGTGTCTTTGTCCACGGAAGGTATTCAAGCCCAGAGTCGCAGACGCAGCGGCGGTAGCTATTTCACTAGTAAGTTCTACCACCTTGAGTAACTACAATCGGTCTACGCCACTGCAAGTGGACAGGCAGCCATCTCATTTCTGGGACATGCCGGGCTTAAAGCTTGAAGCCTTCCAACCGACATCATTCGCAAGTGCTCTGGCTAAGCGCGGAGCGATCATCAATGTGTTCAAGCAAGCGCCTGCCCGTGTCTATCGAAGATGCTCACAAGGCTTGACCTTAAATCAGGTGTTGCTGGACACGACCCGCTTGCTGTTGGATGTCGTGAGCTCGAAGTGGTTTCGCACAGAGTTGAAGAAAGCCACCGTTGCATTCGGATGTGCACACCATGTCAAGATGCTCTCAGCCAGCCTTTCAGCCTGCGACATGCCGGCGATATGCAGTCATGGCGGGAGCGATGGTAAAGCTGGGCACCCTGCACCCAGCCAAAGACTCAGACAATGCCCTCCCGGTGTTGGGGAACAAAGTCCGGGCAATGACTCACACCCGAACCAGCACCTGCCGGAGACAGAGGTGAATACCGTGCATAAACTCACTCTTTGGGAGAGCTGTGCGGCCTTCCATACCCTGCGAAAAGTTAAATTGCGCTGCTCATGGTACGGGAACATGTCGACGGAAGGTGTGGCAATTGCCGGGTAGTTCCATATCACCTAAGACATACAGTTTACAAGCAGCCCATAACTGTGCACGAACAGCCGGGGAGGGAGGGGCGGGGCAGACGTGCGACCCCCGAGTCTGACGCGCTTTGCCGGCACTGCGTTTTCACGCACGGGACTGGAAGGACCGACCGTTGCGTTGAGTATGCGACAAATTTGTCGAAACCGCCCCACGGTGCTTTTTTGAGTCATATCGTTTTGAAGTCTGCAGCAAAGGAGCATGCTAAGGTGCTAATTTGCTATGGTGACATGCTCATAGGGGCACCACCCGTCCCCGGCGCTGGGAGGATGCTGCCATAGGAAAAAGCATGACCACCCTGCCTGGGAGTCTGCTGTTCACAGCGGGCATATAGTGCATATAGACGGTGGTACGGGTACCGGCCTTCGGCGGGAATGCGGAGGTGAGGGGTTCAGAAGGCGGGAGTGTGGGTGGGATAGCATCGTCCGATCATGCGAACGCAGTGGGTGGCTTCACTCCAACAAGACTCGAAGCTACTGTAGTTTCTTCTGAAAGCATACTTGCCGGCGCTCAGTAAGGAATGGAGGAATGAGGTGACTGCTCCCCACCTGATGAAGGATGTTAGTTGACTATGGGCGGTTGGGGAAAAAAGATTTGTTTCGAAAACATAGGCTGGTTGTACACGTGTGGTACTTTAGAAACCATTGCAGTTTCCTGACGAAAAACAACGAAACAGCAGCCCGACTTGTTTGGAAAAGCGTGGTTTGGAACAATAGAAACTGCTTGAAAAAGCTATGAAACCAACGGAATAGATCCTCCTGAAGGGGAGTGTGATCGGGTGGGCCTCGCGATGCCAGCAGACGAAACGAGAATCGCACGCGCACCCACCCACCCACCCACCCACGCGCACACACACACACACAGAGATAGTGCAGCGAGGTCGCTGTCGAAAAAGATCCTGGCCACCCGGGCAGTGCGAATGAGGTCCCAAAGCGAAGGGCTAATTCCGCAGAGGGCAAGTCTGCCGCATCAGAACAGGGGCTTATCCTCTATTTGGTCCGGCTTGCGACTCGCCCCCGGCTCAGTCATGTCGCTATGATTCGCTACAAGAAGCTTGCAGCCGGAACGCTACAGGTGTGCAAGCGTATTTGCTTTTCCTCGTGCAGCACGCCAGGACTTGGATTGTGTCCTTGCGCACAGTAGCGTGGAAGCAGACGTGCATTTGAGGACTGGGGCCTACTTGGAAAGGGCTGGTGCTCGCTGGGAGGCTAAGGCACGGAGAGGAAGGAGAGTCTGAGAGTGCCAGGAAGATGCTGACGGTCGACTGACAAGAGTGGCCTGGCGGGCAGGTGCGAGGGCTGCCGACGGAAGACAAGGCTGGCCAGGAGGTCCTGTCGTAGCCTCTGCGGCAGCTCTGCGAATCTTCTTTTGGATGCTGCTTGCTGCTTTGAGCCCAGGAGGCTCCAAGGACTTCATTCTGAGCTTCGAGACGTGCTGGAGGGTAAGGCATGACACTCTAGCACTTGTGCTCATATAGCAGCATGGCAGAAACATCTGAATCGAGGTTACCGACATGCTGCTGTACTGGGCCAAGGACACTCACCTTTTGGAATCTAGTGTTGCATGCATTGCATGCCCTCGGCCCTCTGTGCAAAGCAGGTGGCAGCAAAGAAGAAGGAGGATTTGCTGGTCGCCGTAGAGGCTGCTTTCCATGGCTGTGTGTCGCTGTCACTTGGAGGTCTCCGGCTGCCGGGCCCATGCCCACCTCGCATTGATCTACGGCACGAATGGGCCAGACTGGCAGACTATCTTGAAGTCATTTGCAGTCTCGATCTGTCCGTGCCTTACGGCGTGAATCTCAATCTCAGGCTGGAGTTCACAAGCCGAAGCGCCGCAATTTTCCTGTCTGCTCAGGCAGGGCACGGTTCAATTCGCATCTTGAATCGGTCGTTAGACTCTAGCAGGCCTTCCTCAATGTGAACCACAGGCCTACATCCGATGTGCCTCCGCTGCACGCTCTTGGGTGCCCAACGGTGCTCACATTGTTTTCGCAGGTGGTTTACGAAAAAGGACAGCAGGAGTCCAAGTCATTTTTATGCCTTTTCACTAAATCTGCTTTTGGCTCATGGCCTGCTGTCCAAAGCCAGCTTTCCCTTTCAGGCACGTCAACTCCGAAGCAGTCGCCTTGTTTGTGTCCTTGTTCGCGATCGAGTTTCCACGGATCCCTGCACGCTTTCCGCATGCGTCACATGCTTTCACCGATTGATGCATGCATTCATTCAACTTGAAGCCTGTACACAAGCGTCCACAGAACTATCGGCAGAATATCGAGGCTCGGTATTTGCGAATTCGAGCTTTTTGACGTTTTCGAAGGCCTGTCTTTCAACGAAGCGCAGCAGCAACATGTCCCACTGACACCGTGAAATATTCGCAGGGCAATTGCAGGCCGACGCAGTGTCCTAGCGAAGTGGCTGCGTGAACACAAATCCAAAGCCACCACCTCAGTGTTGCCTGGCACTTCCACAAATGCTGGCATGCTCGATTTCCTCTGAGGGCGACCATGTTCTGCAAAGAGTCCGTGGCTCAAAGCAGGGACACGGGTTGTAATTAAGATATGATTGTCCCGCCCCACCGATAGTTTATTCCCATGCTTTTTTGTAGGAGGTGATTCTGTTCCCACAGTCCTTCAAAGTGAACTTTACAGCATGGATTTGGGCTCGTCGCCGATGCCATGCCTTCAGGGGTTTTGGCTTCCCAGCCACCATGTTCTTGGGGCGGGGTCGCATGTATTTTCTTTCTAGGACCTCAGGACCTTAGGATGCTGGGCTTCCTCACAACTGCTCTACAATTATTTTGTTGATTTGGCCTGTTGCTCAAGATCCCCTTCAAACACTTGCAGCTCTGGGCTTCCCACCAGCACTCCCTTTTCCGTTTAGAGTGTTGGCTCATTTTTCCCTGATTAAACGTTTTGCGCTTCAGTTACACGCTCCTCTCAGATGATCTCCTCATTTCCTCGTTTTGGGCCACTGCCGTGAACATGTTCAATGCCTGATTTTGCTAAAGCATTATGGCATATGGGCCTTGGGTAACATGACATGGCTAGCACACCAACTTTGACCGTCATGTAGAGAGAGAAATCAAAACCCGAAAGAACTCAACCCTGATGTGAGGGACTACGGTGCCTTGAGGTTGAATGGGTGGCAACGTTCAGAGGCGACTGATGTGGGGCTGCGAGACAGCACATTCTGCAACATGTCTCGTGTGAAGGCACGATCGATGGCTTAGACGGTGGTGAAGATTTCCAGGCTTTGTGCTGTGCACGCTGGAAAGTATGCACGAGGGGACGTACCTGATGTCACAGGACATGGAGTGGGTGAATGCCTTGGCGAAGTCTTCATGCTTTGTTGCTGAATTTGTGCACTGGAGCCGTGAGGCTGAGCTTCCGGCTGAACCAGGGGACTACGTCCCAAAGGCACCGCCCAGGCCCAGAGAGAAGTCGAGCTTGCATAGCCATAGCAGGTTGCAGAGCCGAAGCCCGAGTGGCGCCAGCCGCAGTCTGGAGAAGATTTCCAGGGCTGGCTTACTCGAGTGACGTCCCGACCCCAAACGAAGACAAAGTAGTACATGTGCTTCCGTGCGCCGGTCATGAGAGAATTGGGCAGGAATGGGCCGAAGGAGAGCAGTGGGCAGATTTCTGTCAATCTGGGACGCTACAAGGCTTGAAAAGCTGTTTCCCACAGTGGCTGCACCTGTTGGCCGGCCGGATTTGGCAGGTCAAGGGTCAGGGGATGTCTCTGATACCCGAGTGGGCCGTTGAGAACAAGGAGAGATGCCAGTCCAGCTCGATGAAACACATCAGCGCGGCAGTGGCGGTGATTGCCGGTGCAGGACTTTCAAGATGCTTTCGGGCGTGCCGATGTACACTGCTCTGACATAGAGGAAGCTGCAGCAATTTCCAGTCCAGTGTCGCGCACAATGCTCTGGTCCGGGCGCTTCGTCGCAGGTGTCGGCACACCGAACATGGAAGCGGATTGTCGGCCACCACCATGACCTTCAGAGAGCCCTGGCCGACTTTGAGTGCGTAGCCGTTCCGCGTTGTAGCCTTCTTGTGGTCTCGGCAGATTACGACTGGGAGCTGATGAAGCTTGTCGGCGCACTTCGGTGCCCTCCGTATCCCTTCGAGGAAGATGCCTCTGATCCAGTTTCCCTCCGTTGTCCACAAGTAAAGACTGTAGCGGAAGATGACATTCACAAGACAGGCTGCACGGATCTGCACGGTCCACAGTTAAACGGACCCGCGGAGCTTTCGGAACGGCGCCTTCCATGATTCACCTCAAGCATCCTCAAACTGTTCATATTTCTCAGTGCACGTCGACATGTTGAATTCTTTCTCGCACATTTGGCCGGAGTCCGTCAGTTGAGTGACGGTGGAGACGAGACTCGCCCAAAACTTTTGCAGAATGAAGGAGGGCTGGCAGAAGGGTCGGGGTAGAATTGACTGGTGCCCACCAACAGAGGCCCAACCTAACCAGAACCATTCACCCTAGCTAGACACGCGTTAGCGTGCATTCCCGAGTGAAGAGCACAGCACACGCTCGATCCAGATGTCAACGGCAGAGTACACACACGTAAGCGCACACCACCACCACCAATGAGCACGTTATGTGAAAGACAAGTGGTTTCGTCCGTCGTGCCGTAACTTCCAGGGACTGCGAACATGCCGAAGAGCAGTTGTGAAACCACGCTCAAGATCCAGCACAACTGTGAGTTGATGCGTGTTGTTGGTGTGTACATCCTCCGAACAAGCGAGTCCGATGATGAGATTTTGCCATTTTTGCAACAGGCGGGTAACCCTCTGAACAAAGCCTCTTGCCCAACGAAGACGAAGAGGCTTATGCCGCGACTGATCAATATGTAGGACATGTAGGACGTACGCAGCATGAAGTTCAGAACCCTTCTGAATCGAAGCATATTGGACAGCTGTTTGCACTTTGCATTTTCTTTGAGCCGCCTGTGTGACTGAATTCTTCGCCTCTGAAAAGTTCACAGCATGCCACCAGGAAGATCGTGCAACAGCGAGGTTGCGTGTGCAAGAGAATGTCCAGAAAGAGCCTGAATGAAAGTCTGAACATGTCTGAATGACAAGGATGGGAGATGGATGCTCGAAGTCTTGAAGACGATCCACACAGTTCGCAAAGCTCCAAGCATGTGAGCAGATAGCATGCCACTCCTTCGGCGACGTCCTTTATCCACAGGTTGAGTGGACGCCTGCCAAGCTCTTAGCAAGAACCAGGCTGTTTCGGCTGTGCGCACAGATCGTTTTCGTATCATAAGGTTTGAACCGGCCAAGCTTGCGGACAACGAGAAGTGGCTGGAGCCTTTGGGCTTCGTGTGTACGATGCTTCAGTGCTGTCCTCGCAGGATTATTGTATGTCGTCCACTGCAGTGGGAACTGAAAGAAGGGCAAGTCGGTCGGTGCATACAGCCATGAACATGGACACTGGTCGTTCGGGCTTCCTCGACCGTGTTTTTACAGAGTCTTCACATTGGGCAAAGCGCAAGCGAAGCAGAGACGGCGAGAAGCATTCAGGCCGGCAGGATCGTTTGAAGCGTGAGGGTGGATCTCTTCCACAGCATAAGAAGAGGCATTTGTCAACATCGGATATGGCATGATATGGCATTTCATACATGGCGGCGATGCGAACTTTCTCGAGCGGCACCGCTTACCGTTTTCCTGCCCGAAGTGTGTCAGGTCTGGTTGGAAGTTGGCAAACGCAGAGCGTGCATCAGCAACATGGGATGGCCCAGGCCCAGGCCGACCTGCAAATGGAGAGGGCGGGGCGGCGAGTCTGGGACGCGGTGGGTAGCAGAACGGGACAGAGAGGAAGTGAGAGCGAGGGAAGCACGCGATCATGATGAGGATGCTGACGACGGCGATGGAAACTCACATCCAACTTGCTAACATTTGAGCCGGGTGGGACAAGCGATGTGGAAATCTTTGAGGGAGGTCTGCCACAAGCCACGCAGGTTTGTATGTGCAACGCCCCCGCGGGTCGATTTGCAGGGTGTGGGACGATACCAGACAGAGTGACACCACCTTGACTGTCGCAGCTGGGGTCGCAGGTCGGGTGGGTACAGTAGGGAGGGGTGTCAAGAGACCAGGGGTGTCGGCAGGAAAACGGCCTAACCACCGCAGATGTGAACCGTTCTATGCTCTTGTCTTGAGGCTGGCACACATTCTCTCACCACTGCGGATCTCTGGCATCAGACTTGGATCCGGATGGAATGCGATGTAGCCTGTAACCAGAACAGACGGCACCCAGGACGATTACATGTTCAAGAGATGTCGCATCTCGCTCAGACAGTTTGTCCGTTGTCATGTGGTCCGTTCTTTTTGCACTGTTGCCTTGCGAAGAGTGCAGGTCCGATGAGGCCCGTTTGATATTGGTGGTGCAGGTGGAGGCCGCTGTCCTTGCTCAGAACGGCCCCAAGAACAGAAGCCTCGATGGAGCCAAGCCTTTCCAGCACTGGCGGTTGAGAGTGAACTTGGTTTTTGAGGCCTGGGCTGGCTGTATGTGCTCATGTAGCATCATCCGGATGAGGGAGAGGGTTCATCGCAACGGCCTCAGATCTCACAATCCCTACACTGCCCTACACTAAACCAAGCAGCAATCGAGCAGAATGGCAAGGGCGAGTGCAATGGATGTACGTGCACTGAATAATCTGAATAGACTGCAAAACTTGCGGTAGGGCTTTGCCCTTGGAGGTCTGCCACTCGAAGTGTTGGCTTGCTCAGAGTGCAGTCTGAATCTTGCACTGAGTGCGCAGGAGTCAATGCGTCAGCTCAAAGAGGCCAGACAAGGAGAACATAACTGATATATAATTGTATAATGATATGCGAGTTGCAGGTTCCGTCGTTCTGACCAGAGTCGAAGTCTGCCGCGCGACGGTTGATGATATAAATCCTGCATTACCCACAATAAGGAAAAACTAATTCCCATAGTTTAGGGTCCTTAAGGAAGTGCAGGATTTATATCATCAACAGTATCTCGCCCTTTCTTAAAAGTGTCGGGGCCGGGCCAGGTGGGAGGGAATGGCACATGATTGAGCTTTGCCGTGGAAGTCATGTCCCGTCCAAGTGCTTCTTCGCGCTCCAAATCATTATGCGATGTAGGAGACAGCAGAGCAATGTCTCCTTAGATTGGCTCGTGGCCTCTGAAAGACAACAAACGTGTGGAGGTCTTGGCTTCTCGCGATCCGCCGGTTGCAGAGGCGACTCAGGGCACAAGACCACAAAGGTTTGTCGGTCATGACTGCGAGGTTTACGACATCGTTGAGTCCAGCTTGCTCGCTTGCACGAGATAATAAGTGCTAGCCTGCACGTGCACAGCCAAGATTCTTCATGCGGGAGCAGGTACGGACGTCAATTTACCCGGTGCTTGGCCTTCTGTTCGGACAGCTCTCATGTCATGTCCTTGTAAAGCCCATGATACCTGTAGAGAAAGTGGCAGACAAGAGTTTGCGGGCCATGCATATCACGAAAGGAGTTTTGCGAGGTTCGAGGTTGCATAAGATGATCGCGCGAATGCGGCACATCTCTCGATATGTGTTGTACAGTCAGAGAGTCTGAGCATGAAGGACAGCTGATGGAGCTTCTGCGTGCCACAGGACATGAGCTTTGTATGCAGCTACTGCGAATTGTCCGTGAATGGATCTTACGTGGAGCCATGTTGTATGTCAATGCCCATCAACAAGACAGGTGGTTGGATGTCTCTCAATAACTAACACAACAGGCACTGTACTTCGATGATCTTCGATGTGGCCGGCTGAAGCCGGGCTTTCTGTGCAAAGTGTCAATCAATGTGAAGAGTGAAGAAGGGCAGAAGCGAAATGCGTTCATGTTTTGACGAAGCCCAAATACTTTTGGTGCTCGCGTTTTGTAACCCATGTCCTGAGCAAAGGCAAAGGCAGGGTCACCTGTCCACGACACTGCAGCTTGCGGACAGCGAAAGGGTTCTTGTGAACGTTTGTGAGGATGGTGAAGTGCCGCTATACCGGAGAGAGACCTGTGCCCAGGTTTCTTGTTTTCCTGTGGTGTTCCCTGTCCCTGCAGTCACCGAAGTAGCTCAGGACCGCAAGCTGGAGCCTAGCGACAGGAAGTTTGGACAAGCTCCACCCGTCCAGCCCCTGTCCGCCATTGTCCGCCTTGACAGAGTGTGACACAGCCGAAAGAGATCTTGACAGGCCGGCACCGAGCATCCTAATCTATCGGCAAGTGGTTGCAGACCTCGGTCGGCAATGTTTTGTCCCTTGGCTGTAAGCAAGCTCGGTTTCTACACATTCAGCGGCGTTCTTTGCTGACAGGTGCCATCTCGCTTCTTGCGTGGATTGGTGCCCAGCGCTTTGCTGGAGCCAGAAACTCAATGGAATTGGAAATTGGAACATATTGGGACCCTGTGTAGATAAGAGTCATGGAATAAGGCGCTACAGCTTCTGGCGCTCGGAGGGAGCTCCCGACAGCGCAGGCTCGGTTTGATCTCTCGAACACCCGACAGCAGCTGCACTGCACCCCGGTTTCGATAACCGTTCCTCCGAGAGGCTGTCTCACAGGTGACGAGCTACGGCCGTGCGATGGCCCAACACGGCTCCAAGTGCGCCCCATAATCGGAGCAAGGCCGCCACCAGTCACCTGTCTTTCTTCGAGGTGACCTTGTGCCGCAGCACGACGGGAGTCAGTGCCACCGTGCGAAGAGTGTGCTTGAAGCCCTCGCCAGGCGGCCAAATCCCTGTCTCCAAAAAACTCGAACTTCTGGCCAATGTTCAGGTCCATACTATTCATGGGACACTGATGACTCCAAAGCTGCCGAGGCGATTGAACACGCCTGACAGCATGATGATGTTGCCTTGCGAGAGGTTCTGGTGAATCTTCGCCACAGCTCCTCGTTGAAATTTGCATCTCTTTTGGCCCGAATAGAGGCTGAGTCGCATGCCTGTCTTTCAGTGTTGAGGCCTTCAGTTCATTCTTGCAGGACCTCTCCCACATTCTCGCCTGGAGTTCTGAGAAAGGCCTTGCAAATCTACACTCTGGCGGTGGTCAGATCGTTGAGTTTTGGGCAATGCGCAGCAGGCGGTCGCGTGCGTCGGGTCGAGTTTCCAAGGTTGTGGCTTTCGTTTCAGGACTGGCAGAACGGATACAGTCCTTGATGTTCGATATCTGCCTGGCGAGTTCGTGATCAGGAGCATGGCGGCCACCTTCACTGCGAGCAGCACAGTTTGGGCCTGTCCACGCACTAACTGGCTTTAGTCGATAAATTGTCATGACAACATGTGGCTTGTTCAGAATTGCATGGTATCGTAACAAGGTGGCTTCTGGTTGGCGGAGTGCAAATGGTCGAACAAGGTCTGGCTCGTGGCATCGCTGTGCCGACCAAAGTATCCGTTTTGCAAGCTCCAGGTTTGCAGGCTCCTGCAGCAGTTGGAAGCCTAACTTCTGCAATGCAGCCTTCAGTTTTTGGTGAGTGCACGTGTGCATTTAGTGGCACTTTCGAGTTTTGCGATAGTTTTGTGCAGTCGTCGCATGAACTGCTGTTTGCTTCTATAGCTTTGAAGGCCCGGGGTGGGGAGCAGTGCTGCCATGGCCGCCTGGCCGGTTCGGCCAGTGAGCCTTTGGATCGTCTCCCGGATGAGCACAGTTGGGGCTAGTTCATTTCGCGACCAAGGCTCCGACGGTGGCCCCGCCACCCGGCTTGAGGGTCAAGGCATCCCCACCGCCGATGCCAGCTCTTTCGGCGGCCACCGATGACGGCTAGTTCGCCTACTACGTGTGCTCCGTTGGGACATGTAAGCGTCCACCCACAGCAGCTTGACCCTTGCGATGCCTGTCGTCCCGGCTCATACTCCGGTGCCTTCTCATTTCCAGTCCGGGGGCGGGCCGCCGAAGCGGCAGCCGGTGACAGTCAAGAACACGCCAAAGGCAATGCCGGCTTCCTCGAGTTCGTCGTACCCAGGCTGCTACCACGCCGAGCTCGCCGCAACCTGCACGTGCCACGTCAAAACCAGCCGTCCTGTTCGTGGAGAACCGGTCGCAAAGGGCGCTTGTAGCACCTGTGCGCAGTCGCACCGACAGTGTGGCCTCCCATCGCCGCACTGCCGGCGCTCGCACCGGACGGACGACCGTTCCCAACAGCGCCGCAACAGTACTGGAACATAGCGGACCGTGCCGTGCGCGTTGCTCCCAGTGCGGATGGCGGCCTTGGCGAAGGGAAATCGCTGCACACTACAAGCAATGTTCGTGGGACTTCGCACTTCACTTGCGGTCCGAAGGCTCGCTCGAGACAGCCATGGACAAGATCGTGAACTCGCCGGACCGGCATGAGGTGCTCGCCCGATGGCTTTTCCAGATGTTTTTGACGGTTTACAGCCATGAAGCCCAGCTCAGCAAACTAGGGCAATTGGGGACAGCTCGGAGCCCGGATCGCCGGTCCGAGCAAGGCCCGTGCAACACGCCGGCATCGCACTCAGCAACCCTTGACTTGCAGAGAACTTCCCCGCCCAAGCGGTTGTTCGGGTTTAGTCCCCGACTTCTCGAGCGCTTACCCGTGTTCGCCGTTCGCCAGCACCAGCACTCGCCAGGCCGCATCCGAGGCAACACGGCCCCCTGCGAAAGTTCGCAACCCCGAAGTTCGGTTGAGTCCCTATAACCCCTCGCAGTCAGCGGCGCATCTAGGCCGTCCAGAAGAACCACCGTGCAACAGTTCGGTGATGCTCTCAAAGCCAATCCACAGCAGATCGCTGCAGCCCTTCAGGCTCAGTATGCTCCAAACGTGGGTCACCTCGTTTTGGAGCCCTTGCCATTCAGCTTGCGTTGTGATATCCAGGCCGAGAGCATCACACCCCCCTCGGCCGTTCAGTGACAACCCAGCCAGTTCGCATCGGGTTTAGGGCTGCCGACGTCCTGCAGGTTCCCCAAGCAGCTGGCGACGTCGTGTTAGGTGGCGCAGTGTTCAGCTCGAAAGGTCGCGAGGTTCCCGTGCCTCACGACACCAGCACCGTCACCGGAAGGGCGTGCGCTCACCGCGTCCGTTTTGGTGGTGGAGAAAAACAGGTGCACCCAGCTTGGCAATTCGTGGGCTCCAGGCAGGCCAAGGTCAGCTGTGGTATGACCATGTGCCGGACCGCGTGTTGGAGGCACGTCTACATCCAACTCGGGCAGCCGCGTTCTGGCTGAGGTCGGGGTGCGTTTGGGAATGTTTGGGACCCCAACGAAGGCGCGTTGCCGAAGCTCACCGGACCATCCGAGCACCCCTATTCGCGTTTTCAATGGGCCCAGCCAGTCCTTGACGCGGGAATCAGTGTTCGAACACCTTTGCTTGAGCCCTTGAATTGAATGGACATTCGCAATGCAAGAACTCATGGGCCAGAACATCCACTGATGGCGAGACTCGGTGTCCAGAGATGTGTTATAACCATAGTTCGGCCAAAAGCTTCAAAAAAAGTGGCGACTCCAGCTGGCGCCGGCGCACGTTCGCAAAGTTTACTGCCAGGGCACAGGCAAGGTGGTGGTCCAGCTCTTACCGTTCGCCAACCTTCTGCGTACGCCGGCAATCGTTGGTGTCCGATCTGTGCTGGTGTGTTAAGTTAGTGGGCCCTCTCCCTCCCGGTAGCGAGTGGTTACTTCGCGCGGATGCCACGTACTCCAACCCTTGGTCTCAGCAGCAACTCGCTGACTTTATAGGTCGCACACACAGCACGTGTGTGTGTGTGTGTCATCCCACCCGGATGAACACGTTGCAACCCTTCGCGCAGAGGTGTTACAAGAAGCTAAGCAGGACAGGTTCCAAAGTCCGTACTCGCTGCAGTGGCTTAATGAGCAGGGCGAGCAGGACAGTTTTCGCACAGCAAGAGAAGCGAGATCAAGTACAACCACAAGTCGTAGCAAAACTCGTTTGTTCGTGGGTGTTCGGAGGAGCTCGCAGAGAGTGCCGCGCAACAGCACGCGGAAGTGGAGTGAGCTGCGCTGTTCGTATAGTATAGAACCACGTTCGCATCGCTTAGCCAGGCACAAAAAGCCAAGAGCTTGAGGTGCGAAGTTCGATGCACATCAAAGCTTTCGGATAGTGGACTGGTGGAAAAGTCCGTAATGCGAGCGAACTAGTTCACTGAGAATTACATGTCAACTAGCTTGTCGTGTAGTGCACGTGTACGCCTAGGGACACGCGGAGTGTAGTGTTTGCCTTTGTTTCTGTGATAGTTTTTTTTGCAGTCGTCGCATGAACTCTCGCTTCTATAGCCATGCTCGGGGTGGAGACTGATTCAGTTACCCATCACTCCCACCCGAGTGAGCCGCGCTGTTCGTACAGTATCCCGTTCGCATCGCTTAGCCATGATGCGCCAAGAGCTTGCGGTGTGAAAATCGATGCACACCAACGCTCTCGGATAGCGGTGGTTGGAAAGTGGGTAGTGCGAGCGAACTATTTCGCCGAGAGTTACACGTCAATTAGCTTGTCTGCTTGTGTATGTCAGCAGTGTGAGGTTTGGTGGTGGCACCCTGCTGTTGGAAAACGACTCCGGGGAGTACGCCATCTTGGTATCTGCTGCTGCGCAGCCAGCAAGCAGCTTATGCCACAAAGCAAGATGTTTGTTGAGACGAGTGCATCACCTGCCATGTCATGTCGAGGTGCGTCCATCGACATGGGCTGCGGATGGAACTCCCGAGAAGCTCCTGCCGGGGCAGCTTGCGCTGCTCGCCATAAGCGCACGTAGTGATCCTCTGTGCTCCGCCGTCTCCACTACACCAAATGATTAGCAAATGAGCTTCAACCATTCACGTGCTTCCAACGCACATGTCTCTTAGTGAATCGGCACTTGTTGCTCAGGTTCCGCCGCGGCCGCGAGGAAGAGTGTGGGGCTTCAAGTATTTTCAGGTTCATCATCTTCGCTAACACTGACACGACAGTGCTGGACAGTACTTGGGCGCATGGTCGTTTACTATGAGGGTCCAGCTCCAGGAATGGCTTCAAAACTTGGATGGTCCTCGGCATTACAGGTCGCAGCTAGCGCCAAAAAGCGGTTAAAATTCAGGCTTTCGTGTTGAAGATTGACGCGGCTCTGCGTTGCTTTCGCAGGTACGACGTGCATTTCTCGCAGATGTTTATTTTCACGCCAACACTTGCTGCCGGTTCTGCTGGCTCGTTTTGTTGATTAAAGGCTCAGAGGTATGAGTCATGAGACCGAGCTAGCTCGACCCAGAAATGGGTGAATTGGAGTTTGATGGTGTCCTACCTGTTCTGCTTCGTGCTTGGCAGGTTTGTACTTCTTGCTCTGCCCCGCCCTCGTCAAGAAGCCACTCGTGTGCTGTGTGAGAACCTGCCAGAGTAGCCGGACGAGGCCGCTTTATGACATGGCACTTTGCCGAGGCTGGCTCGCCAGAGCCAAAGTGTGGAAGTCCTACAGTAATGACCCCGAGCTTCAAGGCTGTCAGCATGGCTGAAACGATCACTGAAGCCTGCACCGAAGAGGCCTCTGCCAACTCCGCAGTTAGAGCACATTCACGAGTCAGCACCTTCCAGCACGTGGCATGCACGGCAGGAAAAGCAGCTGTGGGACGCTATGAAATCTCTGGAACATGATTGCCACGCGGATGCTATTGCTTGCCGCCTTCACCTTTCAATGGCCCAGCCAACACGACTTGCGTGGACAAGCTGCAACCTTTCCCTTCACAAAAGTCCAAGTCTTGCATGTCACCGCCAGGCGATTTCACCCTATGCAGTATCGCCCGGCTGACTTGTTAGACACTGCAGTTAGGTTAGAGTGAGCAGTAGATCGCTGACTTGGCGGTCTTTAGTGTTCGAATGCCGTGCTGGGCACATGAACGTTTGCGAGCTATTCCTGAGAATCTTATTCTGCGCAAGAGAGGCTGCACAGAGTGTTGTCTCGAGCCAGGCTCCCGTGGAGCACGGCGGCACAGTTCCTGGAATACACGAGGCAAGGATGTCTCCATGTGGCAGCGACATCGGAAAAAAGAGGATGCCGAGAAGTGTCCAGGAAGCGACATTTGGTTTCGACCTCTTGCGCTTTGTCACTGAAGCAGGCCTGAACTTGAGTATGTCCAAAGCAGGAGTGTATGAATTGTGGGACCTTGCATGCGTGGCAGCCCGAGTGCTAGGAGCTGGCAGTTCTGAAGTTAGATGAGGCAACTCGGCTTTGATTGCAAAGCACCTGATACAAAGAACATCTCAGCCACGAGCGAGTCGGAGCGAAGCGCCTGAGCAGAAGCAGGTCCGACACTCCAAGAAGTATTCCAAGCTGCAGGCAGGTGGTGGCACATGCGCTTTTACGCTTCACGTGTTATTTCACAGCCGAGGCATACCAATCGACAGTGGAGGCTTTGGCAGCCTGCAAAGATGGAAAAGCCGATGCCTTTGTTGCTTCAGCATGTGCGCATCGGTGGCTGTTGGGTTCGAGCATCGAAAGACGCGTCGGCAGTTGGCAGCCGAAGAGCATCTCGCGCTGGCAGCCCGAGACACCCAAAGAGTCCCTTTCGCAGCGTCAGCTTCATCCTTCCTGGGTTCAGCTGCTAGCTGCTTCAGGACTTGCACAATCGATTACACAGATCCCTGCTAGCTGCCACGACCAGAGAAGCTGCAATTATTCGTAAGCCGCCGGCGAATGGCCGAAGATCCAAGAAGGGGCGCATACGAGCGGGAGTATGCAGTTCGCCTGTGACACTCAACCTTGAAGCCAAATGCAACCACATGGGCCGAATCGTGTTGAGTCGGACAAGACAGGAACAGCAAATCCCTGTACGAATGCTGCTGAGTGGCCACTGATAGTTGTCGCAAGGGCAGTGCCACCCTCACGTGTAGCTACACTTTACGCCACCTGCGCCTTTCAGCATCACTGCTCCCCTCGCATTCCGCGACTTGTGCGCAAGAGTTGTGGGCCGAGTCCCAGCAATGCCCGGCTCAGGTCCACTTGCCAGTTGACTTGGGCCCATTGGCCGGCGATTCTGGATTCGACCTCGTGGTGGACAAGTATCTCAAGCTGGTTCAGTTCGATGTGATTTGCTGCACGAGTCGCTGCCTGCTTTTTCACCGAGAGTTGTTCGGCTGGAAACGTAGTAGGCATTCGCCACAGACGACACCCTGATTTCCACAAGTTGCTTTACATCAAAAGAACTGCCAGGTTGCCTGAGAAAAGTAAACATCCCCATCATCCCCTCGAGTTTCCAGGTTCTTCCGGCCCCATGGCTTATCCCGTCCACGGCCCCATCCCCCACTACTTCCCACTTCCTTTCCCTGGAGTCTGCGGCACCATTTTCGGTGGCTAGGGAGGCTTGGGTCAAGATCGAATTTCCCAATAGCTTGTACCGACGCAAGACCCTGCAAGCGGCGATTCCCCAGTAGCCGGGCGCAAACAGGACCGACTGGCGGACCGTAACCCTGCCAAAGCCCTGGACATCGCGACTCCCCGCGCTCGGCACAAATGGGCACCTTGCAGCATGTGATTCCCAAAAAGCTTGCACCAGCACAAGAGTCCGTAAATTGCGAGGGATTCCCGCATACTTGTAGCTGAAAGCTTGACCCATGACAGGACCGCGAAAAAAAGACAGCAACGGATCTTGCAGATGGAAATTCTAGGCAAGTCTCCAATACTTGTAGAACCTGGAACCTGTAGTTCCTTAAGCAAACAAGGGTTTTGCAATCAATAATATTATGCCATTATTATATGCTTCCCAACACTTGCCGCCAAGACGGAATGAGCCGGATCTTGCAGAAGCCAGGTCCTTCTTGAAGGACTTGAACTTCTTCGAAAAGCCGCGTCCTTGGTCACGACGGCACACCCCCGAGCACATGTCGACAAGCTGGAAAGGATTGCGGCAAGCGCCAAGGGTGTGGCCTACAATCGACCCAAGGCCAGGCACGCAATGGCTGCAATGGCACATGCTATCATGTGCTCACCTCCGGGTCATGGATGATGGTTTGGTGCTGTGTGGTGGCCCGACGGGCGGTGCCTGCCTCAAGCTGCTTCCCGTGTGCGCCAACATGCAGACAGTTGAAGCCGGATGCTACTGGTATATATCGCTCTAGAAAGTGGATGTCTCTTCGGGATCCTATGGGAAGACCGGGGCAGAGCAGGAGCCGGCTTGACGGGGCATTCGTCTCCAAGCCAGCTTCCACCGTCTTGCATCCGTTTGCCTGACCGATCGGATGCTGTGGGTTCTTGTTGCCCCAAGCTGAAACCCCAAAGTATCAAGGTCGATACAGCCTATTCGTCGAAAGAGCAGGGCCCATTGCACGATTACACGTCGAAGGCTGCGACCATGGTGGGTATCGATGGCATGCGCTTCCTGAATGATCTCTTCGGTGGTATCCGCGGAGGATGCGCCATGGAAGGACTCCCACTGCCTGCTTGCAACGGTTTGCAATGGAGGATGTGCCGATGTCCCCTTGTTTTTGCTCTACGAACTGTTCACTGGAACCATATCCGTGGAGGCTGCAGCATGCTGCAAGCATGACGTCCGACACGATTTCAGATTGAGTCTGTGGAAACAAGCTAAAGTGTGCACGGTGATATTTTCTTGCTGTGCAGATGGTGAACAAGGACAACCAGCAGGACTTGGCATGACAGCGGACATGTGGTCGCGAAGCACCGCGCGTTAGTTGCGTTGTGTGGAGGATCTCGCAAGCCTGCTGCTCCGCGTGATCGCAGGGTCCCAGACAGGCTCTGTTGTCAGCTGGTATGACCATATTGTTATGACGACCAAGTCAAGTAGGATGGACGGTTCAGAAAGCCGTTGACGCAGGCGCCGAATGGTCTGTACTGAGAGCTTTGGAGAGGAATCCGCAGGCGTTCTTTGCTTTGCCTTTTCATGCAACTGGTGCTTCGGTTCATTGGGAAGGTCTGCGGCTGCATGCCGCAATGGGGCTCAGACGAGGAGCTGACTCTTTAGAAACTTTAGACCTGACCATGAGATGGTTTCCATTCGAACCTTACGGAGGCGAAGCGCAGCTGGGCGCTTCCAGGCGCTTTGCATTGCGAGTTATTGAAAAGAGCCTACCTTTCTTGTACCCCCTAACTGTTACTCCGTAACTTTGTTTCGAGCCCAATCCCTTATTTGATTCTTTCTCTGATCCTTAATTTGCAATGCACTAGGTCCGACATCTGGTCTTGTTCTCCATCACCGAAATCCTTTTAATGATTGGCCACCTGCAAAACAGCCACAGTAAGCGTTTCTTACATTCAGAGTAAAGAGTGTTTGTTACGGGGGCCGGGCTGCGTCCGCCCCCAAATGGCTCTTCGTCGCATTCCATCATATATTTGCAAGATGGCGTGCAAATTTGGTCCGACAAAGCATCCGTGCGGGGATCTCCCACTGCAGCGTGGGGCATAGGGCATAGGGTTTTGCTAGCATCCGATTATTTGCACAGGATCCGTGAGGTCACGTGCCCCGCATGGCGGGATCCAATCAAAATGATCACTCTTTGGCTTTGAAAAATTGAATCACGGCATCACTTGGAGGAACGGATTTGGGGTGTGCTTGTGGATCCCACCAGCTAAGGAAGCGCGTTTCCGCAAATCTGTGAAACATTTGTTTTCTGGCAAGTCTACCCACCGACTCTTGTGGGAAATCTGTCGACTGGATTTGGGGCGGTTTTTGGGTGATCGAAGACTATGCTGTTTGACATCGTGTGCTGCTGAAGGGGTGTCCGTTCTCAGGCCTCAAGCCACAAGAATCATCACACGCTCGGCACAAAAAATCAGAAATGTCATGGTCCGGAGATGCCCAGCGTTTCCGTCAGGGTCAAACCCAGAAATTATCTGCCACCCGAACTCACCGAGCTACATTCAAATGGACCTACATGGGTCACAGAGACAAGATGATTGCAAAGCACGGCCGTCTCGTAGTCATGTAGTCATGTCAAGCTCATTAGATCTCGGAGGTGGGCACCACTTTGACCGCAACTCCGTTTCGACGCTCATGAAGGCCCTCGGCTACGATTGTACCCTGCGCCGCCAGTTCGATCGAATGAGGCTGCCTCGAACAAGCTGAAAAGCATGGAGAAGGCCCCGCAACGAAAGGCAGTGGCAAGCGAGAGTCAGTCCGTCCCTACACGTTGCAGGACTTACGCATCCCGAACTTTGCCGAAGCTCCGCAGCGCCAGACATCACTGACAATCGAAGATGTCGCAGGCAAGCTCAGCGTGGTGCTGTGGTGACGTAGTCCGTGAGTTGACTGCGAGGCTTCAGCAGCAACATCCGCTTCCAGTCTCCTCCACTTACGGCTGACGTCAGATGCTGCCAGCAACTTACGCGAAGATGCGCCGCTATGCATTGTGCAGAAGTCGAAGCTGGCGACTGTTGGTTTTGGGAATTACAGCTGTCGCTGGCGACACAACATTTCAGCAAAGTTCCCTATTCCAGTTCGAACACGGTGCACAGGTTCCAGGGCATCCAAAATGACAGCGGAAGTTTCTCCGAAGCAACCACTGGCACGTGAGCGCCTCAGAGGACAAACTGGCCAACGGAGGCTATAGACAATAAGCATTACAGTATGACCGTCAACCCAGTATTAGCTTGGCAGGATTGTCCAAGTACTTGGAGCGCACGGAGGACCTGCCACGTTTGTTCTGGGACTCATTAAGCCCGAGCTTTGAGCAAGGCCGTCCGCGACTAAAGGGTTACTTCAAGACGCTACACTGCACAGCGACCCGCGATGGTTTGCCTCTCTTGCTGAGAGCTCTTGTCACCAGGACCGAGAGCGAAAGGTGCAGGCCTAAGTGACTACGCACAGCGGGGCAGCACAACCAGCAGGGCAGCTGCCTTCTTACGCCGGAAGCGATTCCCCCCGTAATTACGAGAATGTGTCGGTTGAGGCCCCTGGCCTCAAGGCAGTTCGGTCATCTTTGGAGGCCTGAAGGGCTCGTCGAGTCTGGGACTTTCCTGCGGTCCCCGAAAGTCAGGTTCTGGCACGGGGCCCTTGTGCGTAGACCTCAGCCCCATGCCGAGCAGCTCCGAGAAATTTCAGCTGCAGATAGCAGGCACAGACGGACATTGGTCGCGCAGGAATTCAGCGATGTCAGCAAGAGGCCACCCAACCAGAAGCAATCCATGGGCAGATATCTTTGAGATTGTTTGAGACTGGCGAGGTGCAGACAGCGCTGTCCGAAGAAGTCGCCGTCAATCTGAGCATAGATCCCTCCAAGCTGGCACTTCTAGTGTGGTGCCTACTGTTTCGGGATACCTGACGATTGTGTAGTAATTATTAGTAATTATAGGACTACTGGGGATGTCGTTGCACAGGAGAAGGAGCTTCGGAAAGTTCGAGACGAGGACCTTGTTTCTTTGAGACTGGGACCGTTAGCGAGCTTCAGGCGAGCGCTGAACTACTCCCTGTGATATTATCGGATCTTGACCAGCGCGGAATTCAGACAACATTCAGGACCGAAGAGCGTTGTCAGAAACTGTAGACAGCCTGGTGACTGCAGCGAATGCCGGCAGTGACGTGGACTGGTTGGGAAGGCCGCTGCTAGCAGCGATGGATTGAAGCAGACCAGTTCTTCAGCGAGGCACTGCGGACACGTTCCTCGACTTGCTTTCTCTGATCTCCTCCGAGTCCTTATGGCAGAGGACTTCGAAAAATTCTGCATACGTTCTACGCGAGTGGTCGAGGATGCAAACAAATCCCACGCTCGGCTTTGTGGCTGAGGAGCCTCACAGCACGGATGCACTTCAACGGGCAAATCCCATGCTGAAAGAGGCACCGAGCCGTCCATGATCCATGAGCCCAGCTGACAGACTTGAACACCACAGTAGCATAGTGTGGCGATTGTCTAGCGAGTCTAGCGGTGAGTTGGACTGCAGCTTCAGGGTGACATGGAGGCCTTGATGGAAAAGGCCTTTGGCACGCGGCAGCATGCAGATATCGTGTTCTCTTCCAGCTCGTGCTCTTCGGGTTGTTTTTTTCCGCAGGCTGTAGATGGTCTCTGTCGTGGTGTGCGGATCGGCCAGGTCGGCACAGATGCTTTCAGCGGGAGCGTGGGCATCTGCACGGCGACCTGAGGCTTGCAGAAGCCTCGCCTTGGTGACCAAGCTTTCAGCAGCTGCTGCCACCAAGGACAAAGGGAGGCAAAGGGTATAGACAACTTTAGTAATGCAACATAATTAACATAATGCAAACAGCATAAAGCTTCCCCTGGCCTGCCGGAGGACTGCACAGAAGTGGCTGTGCTCCAGGTTTGCGACCTTGGCTCGCTGTCGCTGGCGAAGGTCAGAGAAGGCTGTCTGCACTTCAGGCTCAACTTGGAGCTCAGCTTTGCGCGGCTGGCACCTAAAGCGGCAAAACGCCTTGAAACGACTCATGCCTGCCTGGATTGGGCCGAGGAGCGCTTCTTCTGCAAAGCGAGGAGCCAGATGATCTGCGTGCACCCGAGTTCGTCAAGCTACAGCAAGACAAAATGGTTTGAATCTTCTTTGCAAGCAAGGCCTGGACCCTCGTCTTCTCGTTTTTGAGTTCCTGTGCAACATTATGCTGCGTGAGGGCCAGGCGCCGGCACTCATTCTTCAAGCCATTTCGGGCCTTCTTCTTCAAACTGAAGCCTCTTGAAGCCACGAGGTGAGGCTTTTGGGAACCTTCCTACACCGTGCAGCAGGAGGCACCACGCAACACAGCACAGACACCAGCCGTTGCACCAGGCTGCTGCTCTGAGGCCAGTCCCTGTGCCATCAGATGATCATGGGCGCCGGGAAAACCACTGCGCTTCGCGCTGCAAGATGGCAAGCAACAGTCGCGAGATGTCGCCAGAGCGAGTGCTCAGTGTCTGACGGCTTCAGGTGATAACGCCTCTTCTTGTGCTGCTGCTGGCGAACAGTCAACGGCTCCTGGACCAAGAACACTTGAAGACTCATGGGCCTTGCTGTAGTTCTACACCGACGACTGGCCGTGACCAGCGAAATCCAAACGGAATGGCGTTTGCGACATATATCATGCTGACCGCGGCCAGTGAAGCGCAGTGAACCGCGCTGCTCATGCTGCAGCTAAGGCTGGTTTGCGCTTGCATGCCTGCTGCTCTACTGGAGATGTCACGAGCGGTCCTGATCGAGCGCTTCTCCTCACCAGCGACTCGGCTCTGCTTATGACTCCTCTGAACTGCAGTGGCAGCGACAAGTGTCAAGGCCATGATGAAAGCCGTGCTCACGTTGCAGTTTGACAGGGTTGGGAGCCCAAGTTCCAGACTCTGACAAGCCTTTCTCTGGGGCTCTGAATGGCTCTGACCAAGGCGACGGTGCCATCAGCTGCACTTTGCCAAAAGCTTCTGACAGCAGAGCAAAGACAAGCTGCTTTGGCCAAGTCCTGAGGACACGTCGGACACAACCGCCGCAAGCGCTCGAGCATCTCATGAGTGAATTGGAACATCTCGTGGGGGGGACACAAAGTCATGCATCTACGCCAACACCAAGCTGGCCAATACCGCTTCTTGGGTTTGGTTGGGAATATGTCAACCTCTTCACACCCAGCCTGCCTGCGTGTACTAGATGGCAGTGTGAGTGAGCGGGCAGCCTGGGTTCAGCAACACGTCCATCTGCAGGTGGCAACTCCAACGGTATGGGACTTGGTATCGCGGTGCAGTACATGCGACCTGTTGGGACCGCTCTAGTCTATCTGTTTGGTCAACGTCAACCTATAAAGGCCTAAGCTACGTCCGGCATGTCCGGAGTGCGGACCGATGGCCTCAATTCAGTCGTCGAACCCATATCCACAGCTCCAGCAACCAGCTCGTGATTTGCGGTACTGATCTGTTGAGGCCTTGAAAAGCATCGTTCTGAAACGGCTCGAGTTGCTGAACCAGCTGGACAACAGCCGCAGGCAGTAGCAGACTTTTTCGTCTTCTCGCGACTGGCTGGGCCTCCCACTCCTGCAAGGTGCAAGCTCCAGCAGGGTGATGTCAGACTCTGATTGGCCTGCTTATGCCTGCTTGATTGACATATCGAAGCTATGAACCTAGTGTTTCTCACTGTGCTGTGAGGCGAAGCCCAATTGGCTTGAGCGCCTCTTTGGGGGGGGCAAAGCCAGCTTTGCTGATGAGTTGAGTCACGGTCCTGATCGAACTGGCAGATGCTCGAAAAACTCTCTGTCAAGCCCAGGTCCTGAGGAAGAGAGCGCAAAAAGCCAACATGTGCAGCATTGCAATCAGGCGAAACCTGTCGTGCAGCATTGGGCGTTGTGAAGACTCTTTGCTCTTGGAGCTGTACCTCGGCGAACTCCAACCAGTGAAAACAACATCGGGCAGATATTGCCCTTTGCCGTGACATGTGTGGAGGTGCTTGGAAGATTTCATAAGGGTGTGCTTCTTCTGGATGAGGTGCGAATCCATCCGCAGCTGCCAATTGCTGCTCGAACTTACAACTTCTTGTGCAGGTAGATCTGCTGCGGGAGCCTTAACCACCGGCCCTGTGGCTTCTTTGGGGATCCTGGAAGATTCAGGTTGGATCCTTTGAAGAGTCCGGCGCACAGACCACGGACGAACAACTCACTAATTTACAATCTGTTCGTCCGCAGGTGAACTCAACTGGCCCACCGGTTTGAAGCAGCCGCCGGTATCTTGCATCGCGAGCACCTGCGAAACAAGTCCCCATGCACCGCACTCCCAGGCTTGACCTCGAGGAGGCCAGGGAGAGCAAAGACCGTCTTGGTCGCATACTCAGAGCGACGAGGAGATGGCAATGCTCGCGCTCGAGAGATTTGCGCCAGGTCTGCGCCACAAGCTCCCATTCCACATTTTGGACCTTGTGTTCGCCGCATCGTGCAAGGTGTCATGCCTGCTCTAGGTCTTGCTGGGCGATGCAAGATACACACTGAGTAGTACATTACATTTCACTGTTTGGAAGGTTCCCCTGGTGCATTACGACGACCGCCGCGAGGTTGCCTGCAACATAACATAAGACCTGACACACTGGTTACACTCGTAGGCTCTAAAGCGTGCATATGTGCACGAGGCCCAGACGGCACTGACTGCGCTGAAATCAAAAATCGAGGTGCCAGCACCATCATGTTACACATTGGGATGCGTTATGTTGGGTCCCCAACGGCGCTCTCGGCTCTCGCAGGAAGGATGCCAGAAGCGGATGTTGCAGTCTGTTCCGCATCTCGTTGACCTGCACTCAGATCGTGACCTGAAGCTCCGAAGCCGCGAAAGCTTTGTCTCTTTGCTTACATGCTGATTTCGCATCACAAACTGTGTTAGGTGCTGTCGAAGGAGTTTTACAAGTCGGCGATGCTGCCACACTTGGCAGACTGGCGGGGCCCTTGGGTACAACTTCGATAGCATGGCAAAGTTTGCCTTCGCGCAAGGACTGCGATTTTCCTCGAAAAGCACGTGAACGGCCAGGTGGGCGGCAAAAGATTTCAGGAGTTCAGTGCTTGAAAAGCCCGCGGAGGGTGCGACGGCAAGCACGGAGCTGTTCACAGGTTTGAGCCGGTCTGGCACGGATGGCACGGCTAGCCTTGTCTCAAGCAAATACATATTTCGTCTGGGAAGCTGATCACCTCCGGCCAGGGCCATGCGACTACAATGAAGGGACATTTTATGCACATGGAGGGGGGAACAGGCTTGCAGGACACAGACCGGAAATCCCGTCAAACAAATTCGGGGAAAAGCATGAACAGTGCATGAACAGTGAAGTCAGGCAACCCTGCCAGAGCTCTCCAAGCTTTATGCTGAGAAGCGGGGTACAACCCCGGCGAACATCGCGAAGAGAAGTTCAATAATGTTTTTCGAACAGCGGAAACCAGAAACGTATAGACGCCAGAAGATATGTGTGGTATCCAAGTGTGAGGCATGTGCAGAGTCGTGTAGAAAACTAGCTATGGTTGAGCCTGTTCCATGTTGTCTAGTCTACTCGTGGTGGGTTATGAAGTTTGTCTGGTTTTCTTGAGGGGCTCTCTAGCGCTCGTGATACATCTCTCGAGAAAAGCTGTTCAACGTGTTGTTGGGGGTTTCTGCATTTTCGACCAAGCTGTGTACACTTGCTGAGTATTTTTCAAGAACCCTGCATGCAGAAGTTATAGTTTTCCTGAGGTTCTGCAGGGGACTCTAAAGAATTCAGAACTCTCTAGAGTCTGTAAATTTGTTCTAGTTTGTTGACCCGTTTAGAATTCCAAGCTAAAATGGCGATAACAACGAAGTCAATTGGATGAGATGGAGACTTGTGCAGCAGCCCACCAAAAAATCACAGGCCACTTCGAGTCCCAGGAATCAAACTGAAAAAAACTGGATGTAGCCCATCTTCGCGAACATGGGCGACATCGCTTCTCGCAGCTTCCAACTCTCGATTTTCGAAGAGTTCTATGCATGGTGTTTTCGACGGCCTAGCCTTCCTGAGTGGACCGGAGTTCTGCAAAAGTTCCGGCAGTATCCATTCCAGGCAATGGCAAGTTTAGCTGTTGAGGCAGTCAAAGCCGCGTCAGAAAGGAGAGCCAAACATATCCTTCAAACATCTTCGAATCTTGAAATCATGCACGTCCAGGTTGGTAATTGTCAGCATTGGATTTTCTGTTTCGCTGGTGTCTTTGTCCTCTCTCTCTCTCTCTCTCTCTCTCTCTGGGTTGGGAGGATAGGACCAAACAGCCGCCGAGTTCGAACAAAGCTTCTGCATGTTCTTGGAACCATTGAACCCATACAGCCGATGAGGCACACAACTGAATTCGTGCTTCTTGTTTCTTGAGCTCTGCCGGTATCTTGAAGCGCAGATTCTGGCGCGAGCCGCCGGCACTGGACAGATGATAGTAAACGTCGGAGTCAAACAAGTCCGGGACCGCCGTGTATATTTAACAGTGGCTCAACTGCACACAGCTTCTGCTACAAAGCGCAATCAGCGGTTGCCCCATGTTGCCTTCGTGTGGGTCCATTACCGCCGACTCCTGTCGTAACTTCAGCAAGCCGGTCTTGCTGGTCCTGAGACTCCTGCACCTTTGCAGTCTTGCAGTTCAGCAGATGCCGAACGGCTGCCATGTTGACAGATGTTCGGATGCGGCATCGCTTGGAACACTCAACATAGATTTTGTCTGCTACTCGTGCCGTGGCTGTGCAGGTCGGAAGCGCTGAGCTGCGGCGACTCCTACGCAGTCCGTACAAGTTGGAGGAGTCTCTGAAAGGATCCAATACGGGGGGTGTCATGTCATCATGTGCGGCGACCTCACCAGGACGGGATCAAGGAGAAGCTCCGGGTTGCAGATGATGGGGTCTTGAAGCCTCTGAACTTGGCAGTTCACTGGCCTTAGCCTGACCTATCCTGTACATCCACGATGCTGGACTCGCCGCCTCGAAAAGCCTAAGGCTTCACGAGCTTCTTCCGCACGTTCTGAGCAAGGAATCCCCGAGTGGAAATACGAATGTGAAGAATTGACAACGCCATAGCAAGGGAACTTTAAATCGTGCAGGTGCATCGGGTGTCATATGGCCTTCTGTGCGGCGAAGACCTGGAAAGCAGTTGCCTGGGTCTGCTGCGAGTGACTATCTTCAGAAACCTTGGTGGTCGTGACTCTGGGGTGTGCGTGGATGTAGGTGCATTGAAGCAGCGTGGGACTGCTCGCTCCAGGCTGAGGCAAAAGCATCTGCAGCTGGGCAGAGCAAAAGATGCGGAACCCCCACTCTGTGCAGGCTGGCTGTGCCTTTCGTGGGAAAAGATCGCCCAAGCGAGCAGTGTGGGCCTGGACTTGGCCGATAACAGGCGTAGTCTTCCGACCCGATCAGTTGCACATCCCTGCACACCGTAAGCCGCTTAGGTCTGAGTTTTCACATCCAGATGTCACCATCGGCGCCTTGGTCCAAAATGTGATGCACTGAAAAAAAGGGAGGTAGGGCCGAAGGCTGCTGGGCCCTGCAGGCTTTACGATCCTTGCCTACCGTTTCACTGGCCTCAGAGGGCCGCCCGAGGCCGCCGCTTGGCCCTTGCATCGCTCGAAGTGTCCACAATTTCTTCTAGTCTGAGTCTCTCACGAGGCGGGCGACTTGCGAGAGCTCTTGAAGGTGAGTCACCCACCGATGGGAAAGCAGCCAAGCAGACTTCGTTACTAGGCGCTGCTTGACGAAATGAAGATTGAAAGCACAGCCCGTGGCCAAGCAGTGGAAGTCTCTATGCAGCCAGGATCGCCTAAAGCGTTGCTTCACGAGGTTCGCTACCATCGTCGAGCAGCTTGCTTGTCTTATGTGAACATGGTCTGCAAGGTGCTTCATGAAAAGTACTGTGCAAAATGTGAGTCGTCCGAGAGTGGTCGAACTAGATGGCTCTTATGCTGCGCTAGGCTGGGGCACTCGTGCACAGCCCTCAGACAAGCATGCATCCAAACCGCAAGCAGCACACTGTGCCTGTTAAGACTGAAGGCGGGGTTTCAGCTCCAGTGGAACATGGCTTGAGGATGTAAAAGACAAGGTGCATGGCAAGTAAAGTTGGCAAACTGCTGCACCATTCTAGGCCGGGTATGTTGCCAGGCCGTGCGACGAAAAACTGGTCTTCAGGACCGTGCCTGTTGGCCCAGACGGTGCAGACCATCGTCTACCGTTCCACTTAACTGTGAGAAGCCTTATGAGGTGACTGAGGATGCTGCTAAAGAGGGCAGGCCGGGCCATAAAATTGCACGTGCTTTGCCAACATTTCCCGGGCTTGACCCTCATTCTTCGGGCACTCCGGAATGGGGGCATTGCAAAAGGGCCCCGATCCAAAAGCAGAATGGGTTCATCATGGGAGACACATAAGTAAGAAGGCATGCACATACACAAACACACGCACGCACACATTCTGCAAGACATGCGGCACACCTGGTCTACACATTGTGTCCGAGTAAAGGCACCTGCCCAGTGTTTTCATGCTGATTTGATGTTTGTTCGTTGTCTCGTCCTCGTCCACGAAATTTAGAGCCTAAGCCTCGAACCCCGTGACGGAAACAGTTAAACCTAAATCCCCAAACCACTTATCACCCAAGCATACCCAAGCCTTGGCCCTAAATCCTTAAGAACTCTTGGCATTAAATGTTAAATCCTTAAACCACTTCAACCCGAAACCCTTGACCCTAAATCCCTAAAGCTGATGTGTGTCCCTGTAATTAGCCGCGCCTGTGGGCTTTGTTCTCTGCCATGCGAGAGGGAAAATCCTTAAAGCCCAAAACCCGAGACCATGAAATCCGAATCCCACCATATCAGTTTAACACCCTAGCCCCTTTTCTGCCTTGGGGGTCACTGTGTGCTTTTGCTGCGGCGAATCGACTTCGGATGCCATGGCCTTTCGCCTGAAACCTGATGCTCATCCTAGTGGCTGGGACGACACAGCTCGGCCTCTGCAAAAGCCATTTTCGGTGTGACCCCAGAGCGGTGCCTGGTAGGCTTGAGCGGCCCTGGACTTCGAAGTTTTGCTGCGTTGGCAACACGCACGCTTGAACCTGCAGTATACATAGGCCGTTGCCTTTTTTTGTGGTGGAATTTCCCATGGACTAGCTGCATGATGCACCGATTGGCTTTGACCTTGACTGCCAGCCTACACACGGCACAAGCTTTGTTAAAGCTTCGGTTGTGCAGCGTCTCTCTTTCAGCGTCAGACTCCGCGGCCTCTTTCTCTCGAGGCCTTCAGCCACTTTTGTTTGCTGCGGAAAAGGTAGTCCCACTGCTTGAGCTTCCTGCATTTGGCTGCTTAGCGCTTGGGATTGCACAGTGGCACCGGAGCCTGAGTTTGGCGTCTGGTGACCTTTGCCGGCTAGAGCTCGAACGCTGCTGCTGCGCCGCTTCGCCTTCGACCTCCCGAACTTTCGACCTCGCGGTCCTTTACGATTCTCGGGCCCCTCTTCGCTGGACGCTCAGCGCTGAGAAGCTTGGGCGTGTTTCTGGGGCGCTGGTCGGTGTATCACCTCTGCACGGGTGCCTTCTGAACCAGGAAGGCCTGAATTGACTTTTCCTTTGGCTGGCTGGAACCGAGATGGCGGAAAAACAGGAGGATTATTCCTCTGGGGCCTGGGCGAAGTGCCCCACCTGGGATGGATCGCCCTTGACTTGGCGGGCGTTCTAGCGTGAGATGAGTTGGTGGACCAGTTCCATTGACCTTGAGGGCACTCGCCGCTATAACTTGGCAGCCCGCTTTCTCATGAGCCAGTCGGGCATCGTTCGGCAGCGCGGCGAGGAGTTCGCCCCGGAGGAGCTGGAGTACCAGAAGGAGGAGAAGGCCCGCGACCCTGAGACAGGCGAGGAAGTGGTTATTACTCCTGAGGATTTGCTGGCGGGGCTCAATAAGCTGCTTGCGGCGCTTGAGACGCTGAATGGCCAGAGCGTCTTAGACCGCCGTGGGGAATTGCGAACGCAATTTTACTTGCACCTCGCCCGCAAACCAGCCGAGAGAGTTGCAGACTTCGCTTCGAGGTTTCGGACGGCCGTGAGTGACTTGAAGAGTGAGGGCGTTCGCCTTCCGGACGCTGAAGTTGGATGGTTTTTCAAGGAGAAGCTTGGCTTGGCTGCTCTGAGGCGCCAGCTTCTTGAAACAACTCTTCAAGGAGCAGAGGGCTACAGCACGATTGAGAGCGAATGTCTTCGCCTTTTCCGGGACCTTCACCTGCAGGACCCGCTGTACCGCAAGCTCGACCCGGGACCCCCAGGCCGACTGACTGTTCGCCAGATGTTTGGCGTGCCGGCGGGGACCCCTTCGTCTTCTACTTCAACGGCGGCTTCCTCGATGGCACCCTCCCGGAGATCTTCTTTACTGTCTTCGGCGCCTTCTTCGTCGTACAATGCCTCTCGGCGCCCTCCTTTGCGACAGGCGCAGGTGACTGAGCAGATGGACATTGAGGGCGAGACCGAGGCGGAGCATGTCGAGCCGGAGGCCGTGGACAACCCCGAGGGTGACGAGCCGGCTTCCTTGGAGGAGGTGCTGCAGACCCAGGTGCAGAACTTAGCGGAGGAGATCGCCGAGGCAGAGGAGGAGGGCATCGACCCTCTTCACCTTGAGTCCCTGGAACAAGGAATAGAAGCAAGCGCGGAGGCCCTAGTTTCCATGCGGGAGGCCAGGGTGAAACTGGCTGAGATGCGAAAGGACAGAGGATTTCGTGGACCTCCTTCCAGCGGCGGCGGTGCTCCCAAGGGACGTGGCAAAGGATCGGCAGCAATTGCTGCCAAGAAGGCCAGTGGAAAACATGTTTGTTGCGACTGTGGTCTTCCTGGGCACTGGGCTGGAGACGAGGCTTGCACGAAACCCGGCCAAGGACTTGCACGCAATCGGCCGAAAGCCGGCCCAGTGAAGCACGTGAAGCTCGCCGAGGGGGGGGGACCGTCCCGGAGCACGAGGTGACCCAGGCCGAGGCGACCGAGGCCCAGGAATTGCTCATGATTTCGGCCGAGTGCTCCTCTCCTGCCGTGAAGCATGCTCTGGACTTGTCGGCGGCTCGCGCTACGGAGGTGCATGCAACAAGCGCCGGGGAGCCCTGGATCAAGAACTACGTCGAGCTCCTTCGTGCGGCTCCCGCTGAGGTGCAGGCCCTGGTGACCACAGAGCCGGAGACTGAGCAGTTCAAGTTTGGCAACGGCGGCGGCATTTTGCCGTCGACTCTTCGATGGAGACTGCCCATTATGATGGCTGGTGAGCTGGTTTTGCTGTGGATTTCTGCGGTGCCGGTGGCTACTTTAGGCCTGCTTATCGGGCGCGATGTGCTCGACGCGGTGGGCGGCATCCTAGATTTCTCGGAGCGCACGCTTTCTTGCCGCGCCTTTGGTGCCAAGACGGCCCGGCTGTTGCAGCTATCGGCTGGACACCTGGCGCTGCCTTTGATTCCTGAGTCGTGGCCGCACGTGCCGAAAACAAGGTGGCGCAAGCTTGGGCCCGATGGGGTTCTGGAGACAGTGATGAGTTGCAAGCAGTGGGCCCAGCAGTTGTTGAGAGGTGTTTCGCGTGCTGCTCCTGACAGTGAAGAACATAGCCATAACATGACCGAAGCCAGCTTGACCTTGGGGCAGATCGCTTTTGAGTACAACTCCACGCTGTTGACTACGGCCCAAAGGATGTGCACTGAAGCTGTGCCTGCGCTTGCCCCTGTTGCCTCCTCCTCTGTGGCGGTTCGACCCAAGGATGGCGGCGGCATTGGCCTTCGGCGCCCAACCTTCAAAAGCTCCTGGCTTCGGTGGGCATGGCTACCCCGACGCCGCCGTCGACGAAAACTTCGCTCAGCAAGCTGCGGCCCGATGGCGGAGGATGATCATGAGAGTTCAGGCGCGCTGGGCCTGGGCAAAGCAAGGGCTGCACTTGGCTTTGGTAAAGCGGCCCGACTTGCGCTACTTGCCGTTTCCCTGGCCATCGGTCTCTTCGGTGGCTATGTGGAAAAGCCAGGTCGAGACAATGTGCCAGCATGGTGCTTATCCTCGTCGCTGGCTGGGCCGTGGCACTTGGACGGGGGGCACCTTGGCGGCGATGACTTGGTTTCGCGGCCGCTTTGGGCTTCGCTTCGCCTTCCTGGAGGACCCGTTCCTGCAAGGGATGCTGGCAGTGACTTCGACGCGGGGCCGCGCGACCCGAGTCCGAGCGGCAATGGTGAAGGAGGCGGCAGAGGAAGCCTCAGGAAGCGGACCGTCTTCAAGCAGCCCGGTCCCTGATAGGACCTCGCGGTGGCCTCCCCACCTTGAAGACGGACCTGCTGCGCCTGGCATCGCTCCTCCAGGTGACCGTGAGCGAGAGAGACAAGGTGGACGACCTCAAGGCGAAGCTTCGGCCTATGATTGGGCTGCTGAGGGGGGACGACAACACTACTTCCAAGCCGGCTCCTGCGCCCACCGCTTCTTCGAGTTGCTCCTTGCGCCCTTCGTTGAGACCCACGCCGCCTACCTTGACAAGCTTGCCTTTGCCATCGGCGGCCCCCGCTTCCTTGCAGACTTCGGGACCCATGCGCGGCGAGGACACTGGCGTGAGCATGAGTGTTTTCACATCGCACATGGAGGCCATGGACAACCTGTTTCAGCAGATGCTGGCCGAGAGCGCCCAGCAGCAGACCATGCTCAACCAGGTGCTCCAGCACGTCATGCAGATGCAGAGCGCCCCGCGGATCGCCGACACCGTGATGGAGGGCGACCAGGACTGGGCGAACGTGGCCTCAGTGGAGGCCGAGGCGAGCACCGACCAGACGACGGATCCTCGCCTGGAGCAGCTTGGTTGCCTACAGGATCCGCTGTGAAACAGCTTAAGCGTTGCACCCCTGGACGTGGTGAGTCGCCGCCCTGGTGCGGGGCCACACCATTGCAGGCCCTTGGCTTCGTGGAAATGAGTTTGACCTGACCTTGCGCCAGGACCGCCGCCGCGTCTTGGACAACATGCTGGCCGAGCGGCCCTACTTTGTGGTTCTTACCGTGCCCGACCGCTCCTGGCTACCTCGCGCTCAACTTCGGCAGCACCCGGACGATCTTCGGCAACAACGTACCGAGGCCTTGCTGTTGCTTAACTTTGCGGCCCGCCTTGCCCGAGAACAAGTTAGGGGGGGGGAGACACTTCGTTTTTCGCCTTCCTGTTGCATCTTCGGCCTGGCGGGCTCCCTCCATGAGGCGGCTGTGGCATACCCTGAACTTGCGCTTCGTGACCGTGGGCGCCTACCGGATCCTCACCTCGAGCCAGGCTGTTGTCAGCAATTTGCTTCGGAAAGAAGTGGCGAAAGCTTGCAAGGAGACTCGAGCTGGCCTTAGTCGGGCCTTGGTGGATGGATTTGAGATGGAGTTTGACTTTGAGACGCAGTGTTTGAGCAGCCAAGCTGCGGGGCACGAGTGTTATCAGATGACGGCCGTGCCGGGAGCCGTTGACTTCTACCACGAGACCCTGGCCGTTGATGAGGGCGACCAGGACTTTGCCACCGACGGCGACCCCGATTCCGATGAGGACCCCGTCGAGCAGTCCAAGGGCGAGATCACGCCGGCCATTCGGGCAGCAGTGAAGCGCGTGCATGAGGCGACGGGTCACAAGCCACCCAAGAGGTTGGCCAGAGCACTGTTACTTTCGGTATCCCCCTCGGGAACTCAAGTGCGATGTGTGTGCTGAGCGGCGTGCGCCTCGGGCCCGGCGTGTGGCAGGACTTCCCGCTCCTCGTGCTGTTGGTGAGCAAGCTCACGTGGATCTTTTGGTGGCCGAGGATGCAGTGGGCCGCACTTATGTGATTGCCCATGCCACGGATGCGGTGTCTAAGTTCCAGCAGGCGGCCCTCCTTCCGGATAAGAGCGCCGCCTCTGTCATCGACTTCTTGATGACCTCATGGGTGCCCTTGCTGGGCACGCCTCGGCAGATGATTGCGGATCAGGGGCGCGAATTTGTAGCAGCTGAGTTTCAAGATTGGTGCTCGGCGCACAGCGTGCTCTTGTGGCATGCCGCCGTACAGGCGCCGTGGCAGAATGGCCTGGCGGAGCGCAGCGGAGGTGTGCTGAAAGCATTGTTGGCAGCCGTCGTGACCGACAAGGTTGTCATTGGGAACGGGGCATGCGCCACGCCATTGCCGAGTCGGTTTCAGCTTACAACTCCGATCCGACGGCAGAGGGCGTCTCTGCATCCCCTATTGTTAATAAGTGCAGGATGGGGGGGGGGGGTAGGTCGATTCTTGCACTTCTGCATTCTGCACTTTTGGCTTGGCTGGGGGGGGGGAGGGGTCGTAAGTGCAGGTAAGGTTTTGGGAGGTATGAAAAAGGTTCACGACATGTGCAGGTGACATGGAGCGTGACATATTGGTCGTACTTTTCTTTGCGTTTTATACATGTGACAGTCTTCAGCTCGAAACTTTAGAAATGCTACGTGCGGAGGTGCCAATTCGTCCAGTGCACTTTGTATTTCATGGGAACTATGATTGACCGGGGATCAGCCGCGCATCATGCTCCCAGATTTTAGGTGTAGGCTTTTGGGGCTGGCCGCGACAGGGGAGCCCGGGGATCACGCAGCCACTGCCACTTGTGTCTCGAACAGGTGCTTCAGGGATCCATTGTGCAAGAGGGCTAAAACACAATTTGGGGGCGAGGCCCTGGCTCTTAGACGTGCGTGGCAAGGGGGCTTGGGGTGTTCAGGGTGGAATCTGAGCGCGGCAGCCACCAGCTCTGGCGAGCGAGGGGTGGCTCAAGAGTTTGGCATCTGCTCTCGGGCTTGGCCTGTCGGCCTGACTTCCTGTCGTGACCCTCAACCATAACCTCCGGGGGGACCTCGGAAACTGCAGATTGCACTTTTGGACCCCCCCCCCCCCAATAACAGATGGGGGATGTCTCTGCACTACAGTGCGTTACGGGGCGCCAGCCTTCGGGGCATGCTGAACAACTTCGCCGGCAACCTTGCCCAGCACGGCCTGATCGACTCCGATCCCAACTTGATGGAGCGGCTAGCGCTTCGCGAGGCAGCTCGCATTGCCATGGTGAGGTTGCACTACAGCCAGAGCATTCGCAAGGCCGAGCTGGCCAGGAGCCGAGAACCTACCTCTGCTCAGCCGCCGTGTCCGGGGGACGTTGTTTACTTTTGGCGGGCCCAGAAGCTTACCAGACGTGGGGCCGTGGGGACCCTCGGGTTTCGACTTCTTCGCGGCACCGGCGTCTTGAACTTCGTCGTTGGCATGGGCCTGCGGTGCTCATTGCTCTGGAAGTGTCGGGGGAGACGAACTTTCCAACCAACGCCTTTCTTTCCTACAAAGGGCAGGTGACGAAGTGTGCTCTGGAACATGTGCGGCCGGCTTCTTCCTTGGAGCAGAGGCCATTCGTGAACTGGTGGAGGATACCTCGAATGCTCGTGGTGACTCTGCCCTGCCTTCTGTGCCCGAGGGTGAGCTCTTGGACGGGGAAGTTGTTCCGGTGGCTTTGGGGAATGTGGCGCTAGATGAACGGCAGCCCTCTCCTTTGCCACCGTCGGCTTCGACTTCAGCTCCTTCGACGGCAGCACCTGGAACGCCGGTCGGGAACTTACTTCAGAGGCCCTTGGTGCAGCATGCGTTGCAGCGGGCTCAAGGTCAGCCCCTGGCGGTTCAGCTCGGAGCCCGTGCTCTTAGTCGTGGCCAGCCTGGAGATTTTCAAGCTGAACTTCGAGATGCGATGCAACGAGGCATGCGCCGTCGTACCAGCTCGGAGGCAGGTTTGGAGGATCGCTCTGATGCCTCGAGGCGGGGAAGCCATCCCATGTCTGATGTGGCTTCCGGGCAAGGTGCCGGCGCCGCACCGCTGAAACAGCAGTACCACAGCGACCTTCTAACGAATCTCCTGGGCTTCCTTCTGGTTTTTCTGAAGCAGCAGTACCACGACCTTCTAGCGAATCTCCTGGGCTTCCTTCTTTAGTTTCTGAAGCAGCAGTACCGCGACCTTCTAGCGAATCTCCAGGGCTTCCTTCTGACGCTTTAGCAGGTACGTCATCTACTACAACCCGTGGGGCGTTTGAGGCCATGACTCTGACGATGGAGCAGCTTTCCAATTTGTCGTTGCCCACCAGTCAGGTACACCCCTTGCTTCGAGTGCAGGCGCAAGTGGAGCAGGACAGATTGACATCGCGGGTGAACCTGGAGGAGGAGCGTGACCATGGCACTTGGGATGGACGCTGGTCGCTACCCTCTCGGTCTCAGCTTGAGACGGTGCAGTCTCTTGGGGTTCCTTTGCCGAGCGGCCTCCCTGAGGACCACGAAGTTTCGGCAGCAACGGCGCGAAAGGAGCACCAATGGAGCCACATGACCGAGGAGGAGCGCAAGCTTTGGCACAAGGCGGCTGAGAAGGGCTGGCAGGCCTACGTGGACAATGAGGCAGTGCAAGTCCTCAGTGTCAAAGAGTCGGCTGCGATTCGCAAGCAGCTGGCCGGGCGCGGGGAGTTGGACCGAATTCTAGTGCCGAGGTTCGTGCTGACGGACAAGGCGGATGGACTTCGCTCTGAGTCCAACCCCATGCCGATTGATGCGTCTGCGCGCTTAGTTGTGCCAGGGTTTAAAGACCGAGCAAACCTCAATGGAGAAGTTCGTCGTGACGCACCGACTGGGGCGCGCTTAGCACGCTTGACTCAGCACTTGCTCCTCTGCATCATCGCCAGCAAAGGCAAGGCTTGGAAGATGCTGTCGGCTGACGTGAAGTCCGCTTTCTTAAAGGGAGATCCTTATGTGTCCCGGGAGCTTTACATCACGAAGACCAACACCTGTATCGGGCCAGGCATTCCTATCCCCGAGGGCTGTTTGGCACGAGTCTGCAAAGGCATTTTCGGCCTAGCAGACGCTCCTCGTGAATGGTGGCTTCGCCTTAGCCGGTCTTTGGAAAGCCGAGGCTGAACACGCAGCCCTTTGGACCAGGCTTCTTGGTTTCTTTGGGACGGCGCTGACCGCAAGGAGCTGCGTGGGATGATTGTCAGCCACGTTGACGACTTGTTGTTCGGTGGCGACCACGTTGCTGAGGCTTCGCTCTTGACGTGGGCGCCGGGCTTGGCTTCCGCCAGGTGCAGGTGGACGACTTCACCTGGTGTGGCAAGCGGTTTCAGAGGCGAGCGGATGGATCGGTGACCCTGTCCATGGAAAGTTACCACCGCAACTTGAAGGAGATCCCTCTCCCTCGCAGCCGTAAGTCTTCTTTGACGGCACCGCTTCTGCCCGACGAGCGACGACGCCTACGAGCCTTGCTGGGCAGTCTTCAGTGGCTGGTTGCTCAGCTCAGGTTTCACCTTCAGTTCCCGGTTTCAGCCTTGCAGGGAGAGCAACCAACGATCGGCACGATCCTCCGGGCGAACGCTCTCCTGGCGGAGTTCCTGCAGGAGCCCACGTACCAGATGGTTTTCCAGCCCATCGACCTGAACTCGGGCGGCCTCGTGGTGGTGACTGACAGCTCCCTCGGCAACGTGACCCAGGCAGGCGCCGGCGAGGCAGCACCTCTTGACAAGGTGTACTCTACTGTGGTTGTGGACGCGAAAGACGTGCACGACAAAGGCAACAGCGACACTTCAAGCTTCGGCTCTCAGAAATCGCTAGCCTTTACGGTGGCTTGGTTGCGCCCTCCGTGCTGAAGCGTCCCAACACTTCTTTACGGTGGACCAGCACCAGCAACATGTTCTGCCACGCTGGGACCAAGTATATGGATGTGTGAGACACTTCGCCGAGGTACCTGGAGTATTACCTACAGCCCCAACTTTGTGAAGCAAGTCGCCAAGGGCAAGAAGGCACCTGTGGTTAAACGTCCGGCCTCTGAGGTGTTGCCAGGTGATCCAGTGGACGGCAACGACCCCCTCATGGGCTTTCTGCTTAAGTTCGCCGAGGTGCGTGGCTGGCACAGCCACGGAGCTACAGGAGTGAATGTGGCACACAACGCTCGCAGTTACCGGACTCCTGAGCCTCGCTTCAGCAGTGCTCTTCTACCTGTGCGCACAACTTTTGCTCGTTACCAGCGCGCGTCAGGAGAGTTAGTTTGGCGAGCCTTGGAGCGAAAGACTCGCTACCTCGAAGAGGCGAACCAGCACGGTCTCCTCAAGCTAGCTGCTCCTGTTTTGGTGACCTTTTTCACCCGTGACTGAAGGGGATCGTTATGCACAACCTCTACCCTTAGTGCAACAAAAGAATAGAGGGGATGTTAAAGCTTCAGTTGTGCAGCGTCTCTCTTTCAGCGTCAGACTCCGCGGCCTCTTTCTCTCGAGGCCTTCAGCCACTTTTGTTTGCTGCGGAAAAGGTAGTCCCACTGCATGAGCTTCCTGCATTTGGCTGCTTAGCGCTTGGGACTGCACAAGCTTTAACGGTGTGGTCGTAGTGGTGACAGGCACACTCCACCCGAATATATAGATTGCAAAATCGGTGGACGGCCCAGCAGGATCTGCGGCTTGCACTGCGATGATTGTATCGGATACAATAATCTTCCTGCGAGCCAACTGGAAAATAGTCTTGACGTGAGATCTAAATGTCCCAAGTTGCCTGCATGAAATTGGTAGCTAGTTGCTGGCGACATCGATGGCGTTCGTGACATATTGCGTTTCGGATGCGATAGCCCACCTGTGAGTGCAAACTCGGCATTATTCTGTCCGCATGGAATTGGTAACTGGCTGCATGAGGTGGTAATTTGTAGCTGGCAACATCGGTGGCTTTTTACCTAGATCGATGGCGCTCCTGCCTGTGAACAACCTGGACTGTAGTCGACGCGACCTCTGAGAACTGCCCGTAGTGCCAATTCGTGTAATTCGTTTTTGGCTTCATTAATTAACTGGCAACAAAAATTGGATGGACACTGCATGAGTACTTTTTCCTTCATGGTGGAGGCGAGAGAGTCAAATCCTGTATAATTTTGGGTGTGCTGGATTTGCTGATGCGCTGTGCTGGGATGGACGTACTGGAAGTTTGAATGGCGGGCCGTTGATCTGAGAGATGTGACTTGTGACATGAAAGTCTGGTGTAGTAAGAGCGGTCACTTTCTTTTGTGTTGACTAGAGAAGTTCCAGTCGAGTGCGCGATTTTGACTCCCAGTCGATTTGAATCGAATGGAGTTCACTGGTGTAAGCTACGGTTGTATAGAACCCTTGTTTTTCGTCTTCACGACAGCTAGGAGGGAGGCAAAAAATCCTTAAACCACCATGCAAATCATTAGGAGCTGAGACCTTCGACTGGCGTTGCAGGATGCCCTCAGGCCCTCGAGCTTCCAAATCCTGTGCTGTCGAGGGCCGCCCCGACCCCACGTACGTTCTCGCAGTCATTCACAGGTGCAGCTCAAGGGAGACTGGGAACGTTGATTTGCACTGCACGATGGCATTGTGCCTCGGCGTCCGAATACTGTCCTTCCCACCGTGCTTCTTTTTGCACACGTCCTATGTGCCAACACTCACCGATGCCGAAAAGTCACAATAACTGCAGTGCCGGTACGTGCTGCACATGCATGTATGAGTCTGTATGAGCTCAAGTTGGCGTGTTTGAGTTTGATGTTGCTTGCGACCTACAGCAGCAACCTCGTGGTGCAGCAACCCCGCCCTGCCTCCTTGGGGTGAAAGACCTGCGGAATTTTCTTCGCCTCCCACAGTCCTGCAGAATACCGCAGAACCGTTAAAAAAACATGCCTTTGCATGACTGCGCTGTGCTATCATCTCATGGTCAGAAGTGCCACGGAGAATCCGGACTGTCCCGTTTGGGAAGGTCCAGCCTTTGGCCGCTGGAAATCTTGGATCTTGCAGATCCAGTGCATCTCCTGGCCAGAAAAACGCAGCTATTTCCGCAGTCAACATATCGGGGCCAAGGAGCAGATGCGGGCAGTGTACGATGTGGTCTGGGAGTCACCTTTGGCTTTGGAGTACCTCTTTGATCACTCCACCTTCTTGCCTGGTGCAGGCTTTGGGATAACACTGCAAGCATACACTGTCCGGGCACACATCTCGCCGTGGAAGGCATCATCGATGTAAACCCCAGCCAGTACATGGCTTGCGGCCAGGTGCAGCGCATGTCTTGTGCAGCCGCTGCTAGCATCTCCTACCCTCTGTCCTTCATGGCAAGTTGAGGAACTCGCCGGTCACCAGTTATTTGGCTTGTGCTTCGGCTTCAGCGGTGCGCCACCTCCAACTCTTGAAGCAAGCACCCTGCAAGCACCTGTAGCACATAAGCTGCTGCTTTGTCCCTCGCAAGGAACACCGAACGACCTGCTGCCGCAGGACAGATCCGCTTCGCAGAATCGGAAGAATCGGAGCCAATTCTGTGGCCAGGCGATGGGCAAGTGTGCATATGCAGAAGGCGCAGCTTTGCCTCGCCACCTCACGCAGTCCCGTAACGCCGATGTCCTCCCCGCTCCTACAGGCGACGACGGCAAAATTCTAGACACCCTCAGCAGGCCGGAGGCCACCGCCACAATTTGGCAAACTCGGACAGCTGGAAAGCAACACATGCTTTGCCGACCCTGTGCCAGGTGGTTACTGTGCAGGAGGTGGATGCTTGGAGTCCTCACTCGCTGTTGGACTTCATCGCAAAGGCGATATCTTCAGATGGCAGGCCGCAGTGCATGGTATCGGTTGTCACGAGCAGAACGTGGTTCGTGTCTGGACAGGCCGAAATACCACGCACTAATTGACACTGGTGCCCTCATCACAGGCATGACCAACCGCGAGGTCGGCAGGGCTGAGCATGGGCATATTGCAAACACATACTCGTTGCTGTGCGGCTGGTGCAGCCAGACTCTAGACTGATGTGTGTTTCCGAGGTGGCCACATACCTCCTCCAGAACGGGTTGAAAGGACTGGAGGGTGTCGTGTTGAGCTCAGCTTCACATTCCTTGGAGACGACCTCCTGCTAAGAATTGTCGAAACGACTGGCATTTGGTGTTTTCGCGACGGTTCAGGGTAATGCATCATGTCCTTTCTCGCAGCACTACGTGACGCTTGGGAAGATGAAACTGAAATAATTTCATATTATAGGCCCCTCGGGAGCATACTGGCTGGTGCTTTAGACTTCGCAGTCTGCATTCGCTGGACTTCCACGGATTAGTGAGAGTAGGGTTTCGCACAAGAACCCACTTCTACAGCATTAGTAGCAGTTGTGTTTAACGAATGGCATTGGCTTTATTTCGCAATACCTCGACAGGTATAAAGTATAAACCACGACGAAAAAGGAAATGTTGGCCGGCTGGCCAATCTTGCATGTCAGGTATTCTTAAACAGCCTCGACGAGCGCATGGTTCTTCTGCGCATCAAGCCCAGCCAAGGGCTGTTACTTCATGCACTGGACATCAGTCTGCAGTAACTGAACTGTTCAGGAGACGGAAAGGAAGTGTCCCTATCGCAGTGGGAAACTCAGTTGTGTCACTCGATGTTAGTGGTTTGGGTATGATCAACGGCAAGCCTGCAGAACAAAACAAAAATGTATGATCAACCGTGATCAACCCACCGATCTCTCAGGTGTGGGCTGAGTTGGGAGCGAGCCTGAGCTGTTTGAGCCGTCCGGTGTTTTGAGATTCGTTCGCATTTTCGCTCCGAGGAGAACAGGTTCTCCTTCTACGATCATGTGCACACCACAGGTGTTTCGTTGAAACACAATGTGGCCGGGGATTTGGAAGCTGGGGAGTGGCGTGACAGGCATGGACATTAAGCAGCCAATCAAGTGCACCGCATGCCACTCGGAACCCGATAATCGGCTGCAGACGACACTGTCTTTCTGCTCTTTCAGGCTTGCCTCACGCTAAGCAAAGACATGACATTCCGCGACTATGCACAAGGCCGGGAACAGAACTAAGAGGTGATCCAACTCCTACTGTAGCAGTCACGCCTGTCAGCTGCATACTTGCGCTTGCGAGGAGCCTACAGGATGCGAGGAGTCGGTTAGCCTCTTGGAAACTTTTGGAGTAGAAGAGATGCTGTGGGAGACGGGACCGGCTATGTTTGGCAGGTCAGGGTCAGTGCATCGAGATCCTGTTGATTCCTGAAGTGGCGCAACATGCCTATGCTTTTGCAAGTCATGCTCGTGAGCCTTAGGATCTGTGTATTCTTGTGCAGAGGTCGTTGGCCAACAAGGTCCTTGCGAAGGCTGAAGGCAGCTGCATCCACACATGAGAGGAACAAACACGTATGCTTCTGCCAGCTGGCGAAGGCGTGGATTCCTCACAGCGCATCAGTCGCATACGAATGGCCAATTGGGAACAGCAGATTCTGGTGCCATCCTTTGAAGCAAATTCTCGTGCACATGTCTCAAGTTCTTGTCAGATCCAGGTTGATATCATTGGGTGGTTGATTGTGAACGGTCTCGTCAAGGACCTGTGCAGATGGCGGTACATAACTCTCAAGCAGGAAGGGAGACAGAGAGTGTCAGACCTACCCTTAGCATCAAGCCTGGTAGAGAGAGAGAGAGAGAGAGATAGAGAGTGTGTGTGGCAAGGGGAGTTCCCCTTTGCCCATAACCCTGCCGAAAGAAAGAAAGAGTGTGTGTGCAAAATTACAGCTCAATTCAGACAGCTGCGACCAACCGAGATCAATCACTTTCCCAGTCACACACAAGACCAATCACGCATTCCTTTATGCGATCGAGCCAGTCATATCCATTTACCATTCGGCATTGTAGCATTCGATAACGCATCATGATCATTCCAGAGCATTCTAGGGTGGTGTCATTTAACACAGTCCCTTGGTTCTGACATGTTCTGACTTTAGTCGAGAACCATTCAAACATTCACCCATCATCCACAACTACATGGCAACAGTCGCGAAGCGATCAAGGAAACATTCGAAGCAATAGCAATCAAAGATGCGAAAAGGCAGGGGCTTCATTCTGGTCATCTTTGGCTCGACTCAGGAAAAGACATTCAAGGCAGTCGGAGGCGAGGTCTGCACTGTACCTTACAAACATGCGGACAGTCGGCTCATGCTCCAGTCACATGAATCCGAGAACTTCAATCTCTGCAATTCACAGAAGACATCCGTTCAACATTTCAACATAAACTTAACATTGCAAAACAGTTGCAGTCGCAACGGGCGCTCCTAAGAAGATCATTCGCCTGCTCAGTGCGATCTCACTTCACAGTGCCCTTGGCGTTCTTCCGAAGGACACTCTCCGCGCCGGGCTGGGGAGCATCAGCACATTGGCGGGGGTGCGATCATTCGCGCTCTTCGCCTCGGTTGGATCATTCCAGAATTCCAGGCATTGGCGGCATTCTCCTCATCTTCATAGATCTCATCCCAGGTGGAACAGTCGTGCTCCAGTCCTCCACCAATCGCCTGATAAAGCGACACCATTGTGTGTCCCATCAGTCGCCACTCCACAAGAGTGCGGCCAGCCGTGGTGGCAAACATGCCCCATTCCACGATCTCATGGATCTGCCCATTCGGCTTTGGGTTTGTGCGACACAGTGGGTCACTCAAAGGCACTCGCACAATGCCCATTGACGACAGTGAAGGCTCATTCACCATGCATCGCCATTGGTGATCGCCAGTGCCGTCCCAATCGTGGATGCTAATATGATCTGTAAATTGTCGATTGAGATAATTCGACAGTTTCATTCGGGAGGAGCTGGAGGCTCCACTCCCAGCTCCAGTCCACTTCCTCACCGCGTCCGGCTTCGAGCGCCGGAACACGATGAATGCAATGGGCTCCGCATTCTCATTCTCCTCAACTTGGTTTGCCCGTTGCACAGTCTTCGGCAGTGTTGACAGCGCATTGAAAGAACCGTCACGGCAAGGAGATCGGCTCAAATCCAGCCATCCATTGCTGAACAGGTTCAGTGCCTTGCTCAGTGGCAAGCACAGCCACTCGTAGACATTCACAATCTGGTTCGTGGCATTCTCCTTGGCATAGTGAGGAGACTTCCATTCCGCATGCCAATTTCCCTTCGTGAGGAACCGTCTCTCCGCCTTGGTCATTGTAATTGTAACCCAGCTGGACTCAATCATCCAGTTGTTCGGGCCATTGTCCACGCCATTGATCCGCAAAGAGCACATTCTCATCCTCAGTGAGCTTGCTGGGCCATTGCTGCGCTGGTGCGGGTGATCAAATCTGCACGCAGTCAATCCAGCGTCTCTCGCGCCAGGCAGCAAGATTGACAGCAGTGGTGCAGTCACTTCATCCCGTTCTCGACGGTACAAGGTGTCAGCCAGTCCAATCTGGGCCTTGACCAATCGATCGGCGAGGTCCATCGCCTTTCAATCACATTCTCGTGATAACTCTGGATCACAGTCGTGATGAAGCGGTCCAGTTCATACCAGACCCGAGTGATCTCAGGTCCAATATCCATGCCTTTGACACTTCAGCACTCGCAGGCCCATTCCTGCTGAGCTTGTGCTTAACCATTGGCTCATTCATGAAATGTCGTGCCTCCCAGGGCACAGCATTCACTGCAGCATTCTCGGCAGAGGCTGCGGGCTCATTCGGCATGGTGCTCCCAGTGCCAATGATGCCCAGAGCGGCATCAATCTGCGGATCGGCATTCTCACTCGGGCGAACAAAGGATTCGCCCAGTGCCAACGTCCATTCTGTCAGTCGGGATCATCCCAGTCAGTTGCATTGCAACCAAAGTCGTTTGCACACCCTCAGTCTGGATCTCAGACATTGGGCGACCACTCAAGGTCGACAACTCGCGAGCCAGTTCCTCGCCAGCCAGCCTCGAACACTTGTTCGGGCAGTGGCTGCATTGGCGAGCGAGCCATTGCTGCATTCTTCGGTGCAGCAGTCTTCGGGGCCATTGCTACAGTCTAGCAAAGAGGCCGAAGGCAAGCTACGGTCTAAGCACTCGGCAGTCGCACTAAGGAAAGCATTCAGAGGAAACGCGTCGGGGAAACACCTTGATCTCATTCAAAGAAGTCCCTTGCATTGCACTCTGTACATGCCGATCACGTGCAGTCACTCGACAAGACATTCGACGGGCGATCGACAGACAATCGGCGGAGTTTCGCCAAACAATCGCCAGGCCATAATGCCATTCATCATCCTGATTCCACTCCTGATCCCATTCCTTGCTGATTCTCTTGCTGGTTTTCATCACCAGCCAAGGCTGACATTCTACCTTTACCTCCTTTCGGACATTCTTTGCTCCAGCGGTTTGGGTCACTACGCAAAACATCCTTTGCCTTTCCCTTTCATTCCTTTGCCTTTCCATCCTTTCTTTCCTTTCAAAGCACCTACATCCATGTCGGCTTGACCTTGCTGGTCATTCCTTCCACTCGGCACAGTCAGATGCCTGCTCTTGATATAGCTGTAAACAATCTCCAATGCTTCACTAAACGTGTTGATGCTACGCACATTCAAACGCAAGTGCTGCTGCAATGGACCCATAGTCTTCTGCATTGACAACGTGATCAAGAGGTCACTGTCCAGCGGTCTTCCAGTCGTTTTCTCATGTCTATTCTTCAGAATCATGAGCTCACTCAGATCACTCTCCAAGTGGTCATCTCTCCAACGGAAGCCAATGATCTCATTCAACAAGTTCATGGCTCTCGCTCTTTCTGGCAGTGAGAACTGCTTGTGCAATCTGCGCCAAATCGCAAATCCATTCTCTGTGTCTTCATTGCGCACAATCGCGCGTGCGGCACCATCAGTGGTCTGGGCCAACATGTAAAGCCAGTTGTCGTGAGAACAGTGACAATTGGTTGTTTTGACTCCGAGTCTGTTGAACATCAACCACTTCATACAAATCGTCATCAATCACTCGATTCGATCTCTCAGCAAAGTCCATTACATGTTTCGCAACCGGTTTGTGCAATCCAACATATCGCGTCAGTTGCCATACCAATCGTCCCATTTCTCCAACTCACCGTGGTAGGTTGGAGGAATGAACCAAAAGAATTGCGATCCCACTTGTTCCGAAGTCCATTCTCTTTCACTTTTTCCTTGTCTCCAAAGCCAATGGCTCCGCACAATTCCACTATACAATGCCTCCAGACGTCGAGCTGGTAGAGCGCCTGCACTGCGCGGTATCGGTTTGAAGCAAACACGGCCAGCAGGGTCAGGGTGATGCGGTACAGAAGAATGTTGGAGACCGGTCTGCCCACGACAGACAGACATCCATGCAACCTGCGATCTGTGATATGGGTGCCTTGAGCCAAAATAGCTACAGTACCCCTCTCTCTCTCGTTCTTTGCTATTGTTCTCCCACTTTCTTTCGTCGGGCTAGGGGGCTCTCTCTCTCTCTCTCTCTCTCTCTCTCGCTCTTACTCTCTCACTCTCACTCTCACACTCACTCGCTCCCTCACTCACTCACTCTCTCAAATGACACCTCCCTAGAATGCTCTAGAATGATCATGATGCATTAACGACGAATGCTACAATGCCGAATGATTGGCTTGGTCGCATAAACGAATGCTTGCCTGACTGTGTTGTTGATTGGGGAAATATACTGATCTCGATTAGTCACCTCGGCCGGTTACGGCAGGTTGTTTGCAAACCACGACCCGGCTCCGCTCCTTGCTCTATGTCAGAGCATGAAGTTTGCAAGCTCAGGCCTGCTTTAGCAATTCCAGGCACGCCACTCGTTCAGCACCTGACTTGGCGACGAACGAGCACTGAAGCGGTCCATCATGGCTGATACCATTTCCCCGGTGGCCGGTGGACGGGTTGAAGCATCCATCAGTGTAAACCCTCATTTCATGCACGTCCGCAGATCCCGCTGCAAGCCCTTCAACGCGCATCCTTCTGGCAATACTCCCAACGTGTCAACACAAGCACCACTTTTCATCAAGCATGACTCCGGCCTGTCTGAGTCAGTCTGTTGCGGGGAAATCATCGACTCCGAGCAGAGCTGGACTGTCGATGCAGGTGCCTCGACCTTGCAACTTACTGATTACACTGATCTGATTTCATCTGAAACACCCTGCGTGACCTCCTGTAGCACAGGCTGCACAACATACTGTTCTGCACATTCTGCGCAAGTCCTACCGATATCCACGATTCGACTGCTTCTGGAAGCTCTCAATGCGGACGGTGTCCGGCGTCGTCACCTCTGTGACAGGAGAGACTAACTAACCCCAACAGGTTCTGCCATTCAAGGCGGCACCTTCATCCCGTCTCGCAGAACCCGTGAGCACTGTACATGTTTCCATCTCCTGCGACGCAGCATATGGCACTTGCGGAGTCCAGGGCTGTGCACCTAATCGGCGTACTTGTTTTCTTCACCCGACTCGAAGAGGCAACACTAGCCACATACCTGAATCTATGTCCACCCTCGTGTACGGCCACATGCTTCCGTCCTGCACGCTCATTGTGAATCTGTGTCTCAACCAGGGGTCTTCTTTGTTTGTCTTTGCTTGAATTGCCAGAGATCCGTTTCTTGCTGGCTTGCGCCAGAACGCCTGCATATTTCTCTCGTCCTCCATTTCCATGATCTCGGGCCCGGCGATCATGCGCGAGTGGACGCACCTCCTGCATCTTGGCTGCGATGTCGTCTAGGCGTGCCTGGTGATCCTTGGCGGCCTGATCTAGCACATCCACAGGATTCAGATGTATTCAGTATTCTGTATGAAAGTGCACCGATGTTTCTGCGGTGCCAGTTGTATGTTATTAAGCGTTTTCTGTCCGGTTGCAAGAGCTAGCTACAATCCTCGGCTTCTGAAGCAGAAGTGCCCCAGGAGGATCAACAGGACGAAGCATGTTGCATACGCCAATCCACCTGAAGATCGAGAGCACGTAGCTCGAGCCACCATAGTGGGTCTGATCCACAATGTACTTCGCCAAGTGTACAGTACCTGCAGTTTGCGGGCAATGGCGATTGCCGCGGCTAGGCTTGCAAGGCCAACTTCGGACCAGCACCTGACAGGTGGAACTAGTTACAATTCTTGTCATCCTGATTTCTTATTAAAGTAATGTAGACAGTGTAAAGCCATTCGTTCTACCTTGAGACAATCGAGGACTTGAAGAAAAGTCGTTTGTTGTGCCAGCTGGGCACTTTGGATGGACTGCGCCGGTGCGTGTGAAAGTCTGTTGCAACCGATGCTTCACTCTGCTGATGAGTCTTGCAAGGCAAAATGCCAGAAATTTGTGGAGACAGTACCATCCTCATCATCACACATGTGTGAGATTGCGGCAGCAGATAGGGACGGAGCAAGCACTTGGAAGACTTTGGCATCGGTCGCGTGCAGCTCAAAGGTACGCAACAGCGCACTTGGAAAGTGCTCCGTGCCATCCCTGGCCTCTGCTGATCTCATTGTCGGAGAAGTGCTGCGAGAGTTGCAAAACCTGAGGTCTGATGTGCACAGATGGCTGAAGGACAGCAAGACGAAAACTTGCTTGGATTGCCTGCTTCCCTCTTAGAGCACACGTGCCTTATGGTGCTGAAGCAAATTGCCATCTCGAGCACAGAGGCGAAACAGAATTGATTTCACTGTTTCGAACGCAGCTGCCGCCTGAAGTGGTGCTGGGGCACTGGGGATGAGAACGGAAGGATAATACCAGTTGCTCCTTGGATGATGCAAGGTGCCGGGCAGTCCACCCCAGCCGCTGAAGGACAAGTTGGTTCAGGACCGGCTCCATCGTCCAACGTGCACTGGAGCTTCAGCAGGGATCGGCCAAACACGTTTGGAGTTTCAATGTTTAACAATACAGGCGTTTAAACAGTTTAAACAGAGGTCGGAGTTCGGCATGTTTAGACATGTGCAAATCCGAGTTCGCATGTTTGAACATATTTAAACATTTCGCGGGTGCTTCATTTGTCTGTGTGGCTGCCTGCAGTAGTTTTTTGTTCCCTGTCATATTGAACTTACTACAGCAGTGACACTCAGACCCGAAGCCTAAGGTCACACTCATCACACTGCCCAGGGTGCAAAATTCTTAATTGCCGGCAGGACTGCAGGACTCCAGAGCTTAGAGCAGTAGCAATGGCTCTGGTACAGTACAAGCCTTTGAAAACAATGGCTGTAGAGTCCTGCTTCTCATACCTTCCGAAGTGCTTGCTCCAACGTTTAACCCGTTTGATCTTTTAAACCGTTTAATCGCCCCAAGCATCCTGCTTCTCATGCCTTCCACAGTGCTGCTTCCGCTTAACACGCCCCAAACGTCCTGCTTCTCACACCTTCAGAAGTGCTGCTCCACCGTTCAAGCCGTTTAAACACCCCCAAACGTCCTGCTTCTTATACCTTCACTCGGGCCCTGACTGTCCGGACCTCAACCCGGAGCAGTTTTGGACCGAACCTTCGAAGGGCTTCGGCTCTGGCTTGCTGCTGCATGGTTTGGTGTGTCTGCCATGTTCATGCGGATATCTGACGTACTAGTAGTAAAACAAATAACGCCGAGCCACATGGAGGGAGGCAGTGCTGCGAAAAATGCTGTGGACGCTTTCTTCGGCGACCGATGGCACAGAGGCCTTCTGATGCCTGTATTTGGGGGATAGGAGGCTGGGTTCGCCTGTCCCATCCTCTCCGTCTGAAAAAGATGCACAAGCGACAGCACATGCATCAAAGCAGAGGTGCAAGCAAGCATGACAGTTGCTCGCATGTGTTACGTAGTCTATATCTATTCTGTCCCTTTACCTTTATGCATATCCATGTCTGTATTATCTGCGTGTAAAAACAAATATATATATATATATGTATACACACCTTTATTGATAGACTGATGCATAGCTTCAGTGCCAGACGAGCCCACTGACTTGCTGGCAGTCCTTTTGGATTAGGCAGCATCGTGACACGAAACTGTTGCACGGTTGGGACCCTTATCAGCAGCAGGAGTTTGATGCCATTCGTCGTGCACGCCCCAGCGTATAAGGGAAGTCTGGAGCTACTTTGGTGACTCCGGGCAAGCAAGGGCCAGCATGCATCAGTCCGGCTGGGAAGGGCCCAGGGTTTGCTGCTTTCCTGAGCCAGAGGATCTCTTCCATGACACTGCCGATGCAAGAGTTGATGCAATTCCGGCAGTTCCAACCCGGTGTCTTTATTTCATCGGCCTGACTTGACCGGAGTCGATTGCACAGAAGCAACTGTTTTTTTTGCTAATCCTCCAATCGGAATCTGCGTGATGTCTTTCCCAGTAGCTTGAACTAGGACTTCTGGAAGTGGCACCAGCATGCGGACAATTTGAAAGGACACCGGGCAAAGACAATGCAGCTTGTTGGATGGCAAGGTTGTGCAAGGTCCCAAAAGCATCAACATCCACCCAAACAGGCTCGCAGAGTTCCCACAAGGCTCCCAACGCCAAGAACCGGCAATGCAAGCAAGCGCCGACGGCCACTCAGAGCATGGTTTCGGGTGTGGGATGTGCTCAGGAAAGACCCCATCCTTCATGACGGATGAAAATCACAAGATGCCACAAGCGAAAATCCGGGTGGCCGTCAAAAAACACATGCCCACAACCCCTCTTCTTCGCCGTGCTCTTAAAGCCCGCCTCCGTGGATTACACCATGCTGCCCTCGGGATATCAACGAAAACTCCTTCCCCTCACATCATGCGGCATCTTGTAGCCAACCACTGATGTTTCTTCTTTCGCTGAAATGAACAGCTTTGTTGAACAAAGCTTTTTGTTTGTCTGCGCGGTGGAATGCTTAAAGTGCGACAGGCAGCTTGTCATGCGACATGTTGAAACCACGCTCTGTTTCGAAACACGTCGGCCGACGTGGGGTTAAGCAAGTGTTGGTTTGAATGATGGTGGCCTGCCGCAACACCTCACCTAATCTGAACCCAGCCCAGAACTTGTTCAGTGCAATTCTAAAGTCTGAACACCAAGACTAGACCCCGGCTTTCTTGACAATTCGAGCTTGTGAGAGCTTTCTCGGGGTGGTCAGTCTTGATGCCACGTCGCACATCTTCTTTCTGTGCTGCTTTCTGGATCTCTCAACTCTCTTAGTCTGACTCTCTTCGTGATTTGGCCGGTAGGCTCGAGCTCTTGTTCAACGTCTCGAATTCGGGACTATTGCTGGCTCCGGATTCGCCACTTCCATCCCCGGCTTCGGCACGCAGACTCGGAGACCCGCTGACGCTTTGGCGAGACACTCACTCCACCATGGCTGAATGCTCCCTTCCTTTAGAGGCAGAGAGTCCGAGAGACGCCTTTTTCCTGAGAGAGGAGTCTGACAGGGTGCTTCCGTCCTTCGAAACGTTGTGTGTGTGTGTGTCCCTGCAAAGTAGGGTGTGATTGCACTCCTTCCGCAGCGTCCGACATCGGCATGCAATCACAAACTGGAACGCTTGCATCAACACAGGACGTATTTCCACATCTGCAGAAAGATGGCAACCGCTCGTAATGTTTGTGTAGTTGGCAGTCTTGTGTGGCTAAGGTGATGGGCATGTTTGGAGCGAAAGCGTTGTCCACGAGGTCTGCGCAGTTCTGCACCTTTTCGAGACGTGTATACGGTTTGGTCCTGATTAAATGCAGCGCTGAGGTCCAAGCGACATTCCAGGGGATCCTGGCCTCCTTGTCGTACCTCGTCCAAAACAGACTTGGGATCGCATCAAGCGACGAGGCCTCGCTCGCTTCCTTCCTGGAAGGCCGGAGATGGAGAACGAGAGCATGGAGGGCGGCCTTGAACTCGATGGGGAGCAGGTGCCCGACAAGGAATACAGTCCCCTGCGACTCCCTGACCGTTCGACGCTTGCCTGTTGCTGAACGGGTTTTGAATGGTTTTGGTCTTGCGTTGCAGCGCTGCGCAAAGCAAGACGATTATGCGTGATGCCGACATGCACCGTCACGAGTCCCCAGCTGGACGTCGGTAGCCTCCTGGTTTCTATGTGTGCTCGCAACAGCCTCTCTAGCTTTTGCAAGTGGTATATTTCTGGCTTTTGCATTTACATGCCAGTGAGTTTGCTTATCGTCATACTTAGTTCTATGGATTGCAGCAGCTGACCCTTCTTTTCTGTGGCCCATGTCATCTGCTGTTCGTGGTCGGCTTGGGTGATTCATGTAGGAAGCCATGTCGGAAGATTGCAACAGACGCGTTGGTTCGCAAGGTGCAAGAGCAGGAGCAGGAGCAAGAGCAGGACCTGCGATGCAAAGTGCGGTCGTGGCACTTTGCGCGTTTTAAGCCTAGCTGTGACGTTAGACATTTTGGCGGCTTTGCATCCTGCCTAAGCGGTGGAGCAGGAGCAGGAGCAAGAACAAGAAGAAGAGATGGAGATAGAGCAGGAACAAGAACAAGTGCCAGAGGCCTGCGCGATAAATTGGACGCAAGCAAAGGCATTCAGCCCACGTCTGCAGGCTCCTGCAAGGCTTCAGTATAGCCGAGAAGATGAAGCGCCCAAACCGCTTGCACCTCGGCTTGCGGAGAGTGCGCCGCCAGAAGCTCGGCGTCCAGGTGGCTGCTCAGGGCCTTGACGAAGGACTTGGCTGCTTCCGGGCTGCCCTTCTTTCCACTCACAGACTTCGCGCAGCCCTCACTCTTAGGATCTCTGCAGGATCTCTGTTGTTTGATCCGATGTTCCGAGGCAGTCAACAAAGGACTTCTGGGTGGCCACGCCGAGCCTTTGAAAGGCTGGGCACAGAGCTTTTCCTCTGACATGCGATGCTTGAACAGTCTTGCTGCAACCTGAATCTTTGACAAATTCGAAGAGTCTATCGGAGCTTTATTTGTCATTCTAATTTCTTGGGGGGTGTGCTGGATGACAAACTCTGTGACTCACATCGCCCATTCGGCCCAGCAATGCTACAAGAATCAGGGTGGATCACAATTCACTAATTCACTTCTTCCCTTTTCACGCTGCGCGGCTTTCATTTTGATGTATGCAGAGGTTTATCTTTTGCCCTGGTATCGCTCAAGCCTTCCACCTTCTTCGGAACCTCTTCAAGGCTTCTGAGTCTGCTTCTACCGGAATCCACCAGAGTTGAGACCTGCTCACAGGCAGTGCTTCATGCTACCTCTGAACAAAGCATCATATACTCACGATGCTGAACTTGCAAGAAGGCCAAGCCGAGCCCGAAGCCTGGATTCCAAGGAAAGCCCTCTCTCATACAGTACAAACATCATGCAGACAGAACTGGAGAGGCAGAGAGGGAGAGAGAGAGAGAGAGAGGGAGCGCGAAAGTATGGCAGGATTGCCAGAGTTTATTTGGCCGTCATCTTAGGATGCTTTGCGCGTCATGCCAATCTGTAGCATGCAGTAATCTTTCCGACAGCTTTGCCCCAGGCTTAGTGACAACTACTATCGCAGGCATGGTTTTCTTGCAGGATTCGAAGTCATCCAAGTCGTCACACTGATGGCAGGTCCTGGCGGTTGTCCTCCGTGCCACGGCTAGAGATTCCAAATGCCTGCTTTCATTGTCATAGTGGACATCATAGAGGACTCTTTGTGCAATGGACGGCTGCCTGGCAAGTGGAGGTGCGGCGCATCAAGAATGTGATATGCTTTCTGGAATGGGCACCGGACTTGGATCATGCTTGGCAGTGGTCGGTGCGTTGGGCACCAGCTGTGCACTCATACCTAGTCATACCCTGTCGCTCAGACCGGCACTTTGTCTGCATTTGTGGACTTTGGAAGCAACCACTGCAAGAGGTGCCTGATGCGGCCTCCCTGGCCACACTTGCCGGTGCCTTTGTGTGTGTCCTTGCAACGATGCAGACATTCGAGGAGGCGTAGACAGCGAAAAAACGAGTACTGTTGAGTTAGGGGTGACTTCTAAATAGTCTTGTCAAGAAGCAGCTTAGTGGCAAGTACTGGTACGCGAGACGTATCTTCAAGCTAAAGCCTTGACAAGCTGCTCAGTAAACAAAAATCCATGTCTCATCATTTTTGCACTCCTTTTCCTGAATCGGCCCGTGAGTTAGAAATAGCGGTGCTGCCTTGAGCTCAGAGGCGGTGACGTCAAAAATGACAGAGCGTCAACGCGAGCGCTTGGAAGAGGCAAACGGATCTTGTTAATTCTGCTGATTGCAGCTAGGGGGGCATGCCTGGTGCAGTTGACAGTCTCACCGACAACCGGCACAATTATGCCAGGTATACCGGTTGTACGACCAGGAGCAGAACAGTTGGAGCACAGAACATACCCAAAGAGCATGTTACGACAGCGGGAAGTTACCAGCACAACTCGCACCTGCACGCCGTCAGGATGGCGACGGAAAGATCAAGGGTCATGAGTTCAGCCGCCCAGTGTGTAGCTGTGTTTTTTCATTTCTTGCCTCAAGATGAGCATGCAGTACACGCAACAAGTGTTCCGTCAGGCTGCGTGCATTCTTCCAAGCCCTCGACCTCGATGAGGCTTCGGGCAAGGGCTCTTCCTCTCAGCAAAGATTCCCAGCTCCAGGAAGGTGAGGAGATCCAGATGCGGCCTCAGTTATGCCGTATGCTGGACCTACACGTAAGGCATGTGCTCTTGCCCGGCCCCTGGCGCACACCACACAGGAAGCGGCATCATGGGTCGTTGTCGCTCAAGGAGATCCAAGAGGACGGAGTCTCATCGCTTCACGACAAAAAACGCAAAAAAGAAATCCGTGCAGGAACTCACACGGGAGACGTTCTACCGCATGCAGAAAGGGCGGTACTTCGTCGTGTTGTCTTTGGAGGAGGTGAGAAAGCGGGAAGGTCCGGGAAGGATCGATGCCACTGCCACGGTCTTCGCAGGCTGAGCACCTACGAGGCTCTATGCATCTCCTGGGCTCGGATTGGCCCAAAACCTGCGGCATTGCTTTGCCCCTTCTCCCAGCTTGTTGTTTCATTCGAAGCTCGGGTCAGAGTCGGGTCGCTCGCCTCGTCCGCACTGAAGGCGATGCCTTGGAAATTTGGAGGCGGGACCTCTCCGCGAGCAAGTTCAGAAGCTAGAAACGCACCTGTGCCTCTTGGAGTCCAAGCTAGATTCATCCTTGCTGGACGAACTGGGGCCGGTGACGGAGCGCGCCGGCCTCGCTTGAGGTTTGGGTAGGTAGTAGGAGTTGTTCTCGAGTCCATTGGTGACAACACCGTCTGTCGCAGTGAAGCTGTTCCCTGGCATAGAGGCGTAGAGAGAGAATAGACGGATGCTGCTGTTCGGATCTCTTGCCCGACGGGTCCGCACGAGTACAGTGACATCGTTGGATAGCTGATGTAGACAGGGCTTGGTTCAGGGTCATAAGACCTGCAAGGTTCAGGGTACCCTGGATTGCTTATCGTGCCGTTGAGCTGGATTTCTTGTTCTCCATGTGGGCTCAGATGGAAACAAGAAATCTAGGGAGTCTCGGGGCTGGATTATCATATATCATAGCCCTGCTTCGCGACAAGCTCAGCTCAGCCATGCAGGAGGCAAAAGAGAGGAGCTGGATTTCTTGGTTTCCTTGTTGGTGGTACGGCCAACATCCAGGAAGTAAGTAAGAACTCGGGGGGCTGGAGTTCTCATTTTGCTTTCGGGAGGTCCGGCCAAAATCCCGGGAAAAATACATCCAGGCGCTGGATTTCAATTTTTCCTTTGAGCCATCCGGCCAATACCCAGGAAATAAGGGGAAAAAAAAGTGTTGGGTTTCCTATGTGCCTTTTGCGGGGTCCGGCCAAACATTCTGTGCAGACTAAGCTTAAGGCTTAACCCCCAGCCCCAAGCCCCTTTGCTTAAGCCGGAGCTTGATCCCGGCCATGTGAGAGGACAGAAGCTTGAAAGTACAGTAGGCTGTTTAGGGTCTTGGTTTCTGGTTTATGTGCGTTTTCGTGACCCTGAATTTCGCCTTTTCCTTTGGGGTGGTTCCAGCAGCCTGGCGGCTTCTTGTCTTAAGCTAGATGTGAGTCTTTTTGAAACCCCGCCATTCACCATGCGAGCGTTGTGTTTGCAAATGGGGGGGGGGGTGCTCCCCCCCGCCCAACCCCCCACTTGTGCAAGCTTGCTTGACAGCCTATGACCTATGAGTCGTTTTTGAAACCCCGCCATTCACCATGCGAGCAGTGTGTTTGCTAATG